TCAACATTCTCTCAGAGTGCAAAATGATATTGCTTGTAGATGGTATTCACACTGATCAAAAAATGTCACTTGAAAAAATGATGCTACTATTTTTTAATAAAACGTCAAAAGATGTAAACTTTGAACGGATAGAAACTTCAAACTAGCACGGCCATTTTAGATTTTGCCATCAATACCGGTTTTTAATACCGGACAAAAATTGTCAGAAAGTCATAAAAGTGTTATTCTTGAATAAAAGTTGTAAGATGTGTTGTAGTGAATTAAGAAAGGTGTAGTAAGATTAGTTAAAAGCATCAAATGAAATTTCTTTGAGAAGAGTGTTTCTTCAACCCGTGGGAAAAAAGTGGTATTCTTGAATCAAAGTTGTAATATGTATTGTAGTGAATAAGAAAGGTGTAGTAATATCGTGATCTATGTATAGTACGGATATTTCCGTTTTGTTTATGTCTATAATTAACGTTAAAAATTGTTGAGGCAATGCGGCTCGCGGCTTGGTGAGGTCGAAAATACTCAAAAAGCTGTGCTACTACACCAGTACTGAAATAAAACTTATATTTTGAGCTCGGCTTTTATTCTGGTTGCTCTGAGAGTCTGGTGATTATTCGAACCCAGTGGGCACACGACTGGTGGTTGCGGCGGGCCTACGGGCCGCCGTATCTCGGCCCTCGCGATCTCGTGGACCCGAACTAGCCGACCCGCGAAAAAATGTTACCGTCGCGATGAGTTTCATCACCGTTTCGCTTCGCGTGTGACATGCACCAAGTTTATCGTATCTTGTATCTATCCTTCACATCCCCTTCTTCTCCATCTTCATCTCGTTCTTCATCATCATCATCTCAACGTCTTCGTGAAGTTATTTTCTACTCCCACTGACGGGTTTTGGTTTGGACTCTCTTCTCAGGTACACAAGCTGCTGGTACTAACCACAATTATTGCGTTTCTTTTTTCGTTTACTCTCTAATACAATATTGTTTTAGGTTTTACAATCCAATCGTAAACCTTAATCTCAGCGACGTCGCTTGGATTTTTTTTATTTTTTTCTTATCTAAACTTTAGTCCGGCCCTCCTCCGCAAAAAACGACGGATTCTTTTCCTTAACTCGCGAAAGCTCTTCGAAACGAAACGGAACGTGCGGGCACATTTTAACGGCCCCCTCGCCGGCACTATTATAGATTTCTTTTATTTTTAAAGCGACCGTGAACGCATTAAATTAACACCTTAATTAAACTTGTGCACAATAGTGTATAGCTATCAGCGTCGTTTTATTATTTATGTTCTTAATAGCTATAAAACCGGGGGGATTTAATCGTTCCCCGATTGCTTTTTATATGAAGTCGCTTCTGCCTTCAACGTCAAAACATTACACAATTTTTTTTTTACTTTGTAATGGGTGGTACCTCTAATTATTTATCCGCTTGGCACACGATTTCTCTGACGTCAAAACGAAACGCAAGGTCACATTTTTCGTTTTGACATTTCAAATTCTATAAGATAAAAGATAAAAGGGATGTTTTGATTTAAAAAAAAAAATTTTGTTTAGCACGCGATTTCTCTGACGTCAAAAGGAAGTGCAACAGGTCATATTTTCCCCCCGGTTCGGAACTTTGCAAGTTCTCCCTGGGGATCGATTTGCTTCCTCTTTCTCTCTCTCTCGATTCCTCTTTTATTTCAAAATGTGGTGCTTTAAAATTTTCCAATCGTCTTTTCTGGTGACAAACAGAACCACGCACTACGTTTTCTATTTCGGGAGTCTACTTTTTTTTTTTTTCAAACTCCGTCGTGTCGTTTGGGATATTGTGCCCAGAACGAAGCGAAGTCAAACCGTGAGCGACATTTTAACGAGGCTAAATATTTGGCATCGGTTCGCACGTGCGCTTTACTCACGGTTTATAACGTCTCAAATATAGAGACTTTTAAGAAAATGTGTGAGAATATTCTAGATGTTTTAGAAAATTTTTTTGACTTATTAATTGCCATCTATGTAGTGATGGCAGTTAATAAAGGATTTCTTTGTTTCCTTTATTGAATGAATTTCATGCGCATTTTTTTGCTCGAGGAGAGTGAAAAGGCCGTCGGCGTGACTCTGCAAGTTTTAGTTTAGTTGGAAATACTTCCAAGTCTTTCTCTTTTTCTTTTTTTTTTTTTTCAGGTATTAATGTTGTTAGGAATAAAATTCAAGAATGTCAAAAAATAGTTGAAAATGAAATGCGATAAGAGAGATGTTGAGATGATGGGGGGTTGTTGATAAAGAGACGAGGCGTTGAGGAGAGCATCTGGCCGGGAGCCAAGCGTCGTGTAGTGACCTTTTCTTGGTTTCCGACGCCGAGGTGTGGAGGTTTGGTGGATGTTTGTTCCGTGGCACGTGTGGAGGGTAGATTGATGCGGGGCCGTCGGGGCGGGTTGAGTTTGGTCGTCGGTTACCTAAGGGGGGAGGCGACGGCGTCGGGGGCACGAAAGTAACTCGACGCACTTGGCAGCCCGAACCGCTCCTTAAAAGGTACGGGGCACTTGAGAAGGGGGGCCCCCGTTCCCATCGTCCCAGGCCCGTTACGTCCCTACCGATAACGGACGACAACGACGGCGTCGTTCTTCGACGTCGTTCTTCGTGTATGAGATTTGCGGTCTACTGCTAGGAGGAACCCGCCACATGGTAAAAAGGAGAGAGAAAGATGAGGTTATCTATGAGCAAACTATTGAGCACATGGCTCCTTCTTCCGGTGGATCACACCCGGAGAGAGCAACGAAAGGTGACTAACCCGCCTCTCTCCCGGGTACGTAAAACCTTTTAGGAAGATGTGCATCTCAAAATGTGGGGGGTTTTTTAAATGATGCGTAGTGAGTCACCTCGCGTCCAGGCGTCCAGCGACGCCTGGATGAACCTCGCCGCCGGGACGCCTGGACGCCGTGCCCGGGCTTGCACACGTGCCTAACTCTATCTTTAGCTCACGGCCCCTTGCGTCGCTTTTTTTTCCTCTCCTCTTCCAAACTCCGATGAACGCGCCTTGGCAACGTTCCCGGTCGTCTTATGTTGTTCCCGTGGAGAAATAAACTTCTTTCTTTTACTTTCTTACCTTTTCAAATTTTACTCAAAAAAATTATCTGTTAAAAGACTTTATTATTATTCAGATTTTCCTTAGAGATAAGAAACGAAGATTTTATGTTTTTTTGTCTTTGAAATTTCTTGATTTGAACATAATGGAATAATATTAATGTTATGTTAATATTTTATTATTATTAATTTAAATTTGGCGCGTTAAGTTGATTTTGTGAGTGGCGTAGTTGAAGTTGGGAGCGTCGCGACGTCGTCGTTTAAACGGGAATTCACGGTTGTTTGGGAGAGTCGGGTGGGGATTCGGACTTAGCATCCCCGTTGGTTAAGTGCATCTATAACCATCGTTGACGTTAGCGTAAGGCGCGGATGTGGTGGCAGAGGTAAGCGTTTTGTGCGGATAGAGAGTATTTTAAAACTGGCAATTATTTTTGGTATCGCATATAATGGGGTGTGATGCATGGCTTAGAGTTTAGTTGCGGCGTGATCGTCGACTGGCCTAAGTAATATCCTTTAAGGAACAGCTGCAAACATCCTCCAGAACAAAAAAAAAATAAAATAAAATGATGGAAAACGACGAGCTTTCGGGTCTTTCGGCAAAGGATATCCGGTGTAACGAGGAGGAGAAACTCCTACGACCAGAAATCATTGGGTATTTATTTGGAAAGTTGAATAGTCGTTGATAAGATTTTTTCATTTTTTTTATATTATCGCAATCGGTGTTAATCTTACAGATAAATGACGTAAGATAATCTGTTTTTTTTTTTTTCGATTAATTAAAATGTTTTAAAAATCGGCGGCTTCTCCTTTGTCCTTCCTCGCAGTATTTTCTTCTCTTCTCGTCGTCAAGACTTTTTTTTATTATTTTATCGCGTTATTCCGCGGCGTGCCGGGTCTTAGTAACGCTTTGGCACGCTTCCAGAAAGATTCAAGGTTTTTTTTCTCCTCGCACCGACGGACGTCAGCAGCGTCGCGACGCTCTCTACTATACTTCGCACTCACTCTTTACAAAATATTTTACAAAATCTTTTACAAAATAATTTACAAAATCTTTCACAAAATTTTTTACAAAATATTCAAAATCCCCCATATTATTTTAACGTGTATCTACCCCACAGATTTAAAAAAAAAATATATATAAATTAGAGAACGTGTGGGGCGGTTTTTGTGTTGAGATTCCCGATCTTGCCTTCGGATGTATTCGTTGACTTGGTGACGTCACCTTGCTATATCGACCAATCGCGTTGCGTTTTACTGGCGGGTATCAACGATCATCTGAGCTTAGTACGAGACCCTATTTCTGGGCGCCTCTGACTTCTAGTTCACAAACGCGTGGTGCGCCGTCAGTTTCTGTTACCTTCTGTTACCAGTCGCTAGTGGTCGCTTCGACGACGATATTATATTATGTGACGTTTTCCTTCCGCGGCCGAGTTCTTATCTATGGAAATACTGTTTTGTGCTGTTACTACTTTTTAACCCTTTGAGACCTTTGAAATATATTTATTTATTTTATTTTTTTTCTTTTTCGTTTATGGTTGTTTTTTTTTTTTAAATATTTTTTGCGTTTGCCGGTTGTTTAAATCTAGTGTTCCGGGATTATGTGATGAAATGATACGCTTTAATTTCGTACGTATTTTCATTTATTTATTATTATTATTAGGGTGGATTTCGTGATATGTCAGAAACGATGGTAATTATTGGACACGATTTCCTACCTTATTTCTTTTTTTTTTTTAATTACTTTTTTTATAATTCATAAAAAAATTTTTTAAGGTTTATTTTATGTCCTTGTTAGTCAAAGGTCTGTATTGGCCTTGGTACTGCCTATAACCGATCGATTCCCGGCAATTCTCCACTTCCCCACTAAATCAGGTCACTATGTTTACGGTTTTATTTTCCCATGTCATCCCCCCGTCGACGCTCTCAATTACCCTTAGGGTTTTTGTTGCAGATCGTCGACATTCACGATTGACGTTTTCTTCTTCCTCTTCATCATCAACAACCCCCACGACGATTGTTACTGTTACTTTGACGAGTTTGTCCGCGTCGACGTTTTTATAAATCGGCCGCCCGGATAACGAGTGTCACGGAGTACCAAGAATTTGGTCCAAGATTTCCTCCGCCATGGGTCGCAAGAAAATACAAATATCCAGGATCACCGACGAACGGAACCGACAGGTAAATTAAATTCACTCTCTCTTATATTGTAAAGGCCAAGATCACTCACTTATCTCTCATTTGGTCCATATACCAAAACAAAATAGATAACACGTTTGTTTTGTAATAAAGTTTTTTAAAACGTCAGAAAGATAATTATCCGTATTTTATAATATCTGCGCGTTCCTATCGTGTGTAATCTTTTTTTGGTCACTTTCTCATTTTTTTATCTCCTATCATTGTTTTTAATTTAAAATTTGATCTTTTTAAATTATTATCTAGTCATTTCAATTTGGAATTTTTCCATTTATTTCTCTTAAATATATTTTTTCTTATTTACTCCTTTCTTTCACATTTTTATTCTATATTAAACATACTAAAAAAGTAAAATTAGACAATTTTCTAAATTTAACTAAAATGTTTTTTTATAGAATTATATTCTTCTATTTAAGATTTGAAAGTTTTATATATTATATTTAACCAACAGATTTTTGAGTGAGTTATTAGTATCCCGGCGGTAGTTGCTAAACCGTTGAGAAAGAAAAAAATGTTTTATATAATACGTAAAATTATTTTCCATTTAAGCATAACGGAGAGTATGTAGATTTTTTTAAATGGAACACCCTATATATTTTATATAATTAATAATGTAAAAACGACATTTTTTCCAATTTTGCCAGTAAATAAATGATAGTATCCAAAGATATTAGATACGCTATACAGCGTGTTCATAAAGTTTAGTTACTTTTAATGTTTTTAAAATGGTTTTTTCATAAATTTTTTAAACGGTACACCCTGTATATTGTGTGCTGGTTGAATTGCCCATCAAGTTACCTTTAATTAATGATAAGTATGTCATATATCTAACTTTAGTAGTTCGCCTGATATTTAGAATTTAAAAAATAATGTGTAATAAAATATGCATTATTGTACTTAATATTATATTCTGTCTATTTTTTGTTCTTCCTTTTATATTTGATTAATATTTTATAATTTAAAATAATTTTGCTGCTATATACCAAATTTTAATACGACTTGGTATTTTATGAGATTTAAAAAGATGTAAGTAATAAAATATGCAATTGTTCTGCCATATAATGTTCGACTTTACAAAAAATATATGAATGAAAATTTTTTTTTTTGCGGCATTTTGAACAACTTCTAAATATTAATTAAATTAATATCTACTTGTTGAGCAACGTTTAGTAATTGTTTATAGTTTGTTGCTGCATTTCCTTCAAATAATTTAGTAATTAAAAAAGCGATTTATTGTTGTACCATTTAGTTGTATTTTTATCACGTTTTGCTTATTTATTTATTAAATTTTTTTCTATATTGTATTTTAATATAATATTACTAATTTATCAAATGACAGACAAACAAAAAAGAAAAAAACAAAGAAAAAGAGAATATATTACATTCTATCACTTTTTTAAGTACAATAATGACATTTTATTAAACATTTTTCTTTAAATTCTAAATATTAGGAAAACTATTAAAGTTAGACATATAACATACTTATCATTAATTAAAGGGAACTTGATGAGCAATTCAACTAGCACACAATATACAGGGTGTTCCCTTCAAAAAAATTTAAAAAAAGCCATTTGAAAAACATCAAAAGTAACTAAGTTTTATAAACAGCCTGTATAGTGTATCTAATATCTTTGAATACTATCATCATCCTACTGGCTTTGACTATTATCCGACATAGTTTCAAGTCAAAATCAGCAAATACATCGTTTTTGACATATTTTATTACACATTTTTCTTTAAATTCTAAATATCAGGAAAACTATTAAAGTTAGACATATAACATACTTATCATTAATTAAAGGGAACTTGATGAGCAATTCAACTAGCACACAATATACAGGGTGTTCCGTTCAAAAAAATTTAAGGAAAAACCATTTGAAAACATCAAAAGTAACTAAGTTTTATAAACAGCCTGTATAGTGTATCTAATATCTTTGAATACTATCATCTTCCTACTGCCTTTGACTATTGTCTGACGTAGTTTCAAGGCAAAATCGGAAAAAATGTCGTTTTTACATCGTTTTTAAAAAGATCTTGTAATAGGCACATTTTGGAAGAACAATTGAATATCTCAGGAACTATGAACACTGTGAAATAGTATTCATAATATGTTAAAATATACAGTGTGTTCCATTTAAATAAATTTACGCTTAAATGGAACAACCTGTATAAGTGAAAATAATTTTACGTAATAGAAAGTGATGATTCAAACAACTTTTGTACCCCGGGATATTAATAACTCACCCTGTATATTTGTAATTGAGATATGGTGGGAAAATCTTATAGTGAATTAATTAAAAGATCCACAATCAAATATTCTACTTTGAACTTATTTAATATAATAATTGACTGAATAATAAATTTCATATAACAATATTTTTTTTAAGGTGACTTTCAATAAAAGGAAGTTTGGTGTGATGAAAAAGGCTTATGAATTATCGGTGCTGTGCGATTGTGAAATAGCGTTGATTATCTTTAGCAGCACTAACAAGCTGTATCAGTACGCGAGCACGGACATGGACAAGGTGCTTCTCAAGTACACGGAATACAACGAGCCGCACGAGTCGCTCACCAACAAGAATATTATAGAGGTACATCAAATCCAGCAGCAACTGTGGCTCAATATTTGGCTCATGCATACACGATAACTAACTTTAATTATATATTTTATTTTAATGACTTTTATTTTTATTAATTGGTTTAATTTTATTAATTTGTCGAATCTAACACTGCTTTTTATGTTTTTCTTTTTCCTTTTATCAACGTTAAGTTGAGTATTTTTTTATTATTTCTTTGACACGAGGTTATCGATTCTTTGCATTTGCCTGTTATTCTCACTAGTTGTTGCTTTAGTTTTTAAAAAACTAAGAATTTTATATACTCTTAACTCGGACGTGTGCGATGGCGTAAATGAGTAGGTAAAACGAAACTTTTTTTTATTTATACATATCTCATTTATAAATTGAAAAAAGGAGCTAGTGTGTTTGATGTGTGTGTGATAGCCCTTGAGGCTGTCTTACTCCATGAGCTGGTCCACTGACACTTGCAGGCACTCAATAAGAAGGAGCATAAGAACGGCGTTATGAGTCCTGAGAGCCCCGAACCAGAGACTGAGTACCAACTTACACCCAGGACTGAGGCCAAGTACAGCAAAATCGATCAGGAGTTTCAAATGATGTTGCAAAGAAACCAAATGAATGGCCAAAGGGTAAGCTAATAAAATAACATAATTAACAAAACAAAAATGATTTGGGATAACCAAATCCGGGCCCCTAAAAATCCTTCAAAAGAATGATTTAGAATTCAATATGACACTGATAACGCTTAATCTGTTCAAACTTTCCAAAACACTACATTATCTTTGAGAATAAATACCGTCACGTTATCAGCCACTTTACATTACATACATTTATGTGTAATAATCGAACTAATCTTGGCAATTTTTTTCACTTGTTACGACTCAAATTCTGAAATTATAAAACATTTCAATTATTTTATTATTTTATTTCTTAAAAAAAAATTCATTTCTTTTCGCGAATTAACCGTATATAAATTAAATTCCTTATCAGGGTTTCGCTAAATATTTAACAATGTTTAAAACCTGGATGACCCGTTATTTAAATATTAAAGCTTATTGTTTTGTACCTATTATCTAATATTTATTTTTGGTTTAATTCTCAATGGATATTTCCATGAATTTTATGTAATTTATACTTAATTTATAGCCTGTAACAATGGGAAGTAGTAATTATTCACAACCAGTGTCGGTTCCGGTGAATATAAGTTACAGCGAATCGGGCCTTCTGCAATCTAGTCCACAAATGCCGCACACAAGTATGAGCCCGAGACCGTCATCGTCAGAAACCGATTCAGTGTATCCGAGTGGCGGCATGCTCGAAATGAGCAACGGTTACCCGAATTCGTCATCACCCATGGGTGGTTCACCATCCCCGGGACCAAGTCCTGGGCCTGGACTTAGCTCTTCTAAACAACAACCACCACCGCATGGTAAACAACACTCGCCGGGACCGAGATCCAATCTCCGAGTGGTTATACCGACCCCACTTGGGTCTACACTCGCCTCTGACGAAGTTTCGTACGGAGAAGTGAGTATTTTTTCTTGTGTGTTTGAAAATAATGAATTAACTTAACCATTTTTGAAATATGTAATTTTAAAGTGTATTAACAAACTTCATCAAATTAAAGTAATACACTTTAAAAATACATATTAGTTAAAAAAATTTAGTAACGTCATTGTTTTTAGCTTAAATATATTTATTTAATGCTGCGCAAAAGTTGCGTCAAGGAAACGTCTTTCTTTTATTGTGTAAAAAAAGTAGATGTAGTTTTGATATTAAGGTGATTGGGTTACGAGGAGGACGTTTTCTCGACGCAACAAAAAAATTTTTTGGTAACCTTACCAAAAATAAGCGTGGCAACGAACAGACGTTACGTGAGCTGTAGTATCTCTTACAGCATAATCGCTCACAGCAGTCATTGAACACACCTGTGGTGGCATTGCAGACGCCCGGATTGTCGAGCTACCCGAGTGCCTTGACAACATTTGGGGGTGGCGAATTCATTGGTTCGGACATGAGCCTAGCTTCATCGATTCCATGGAGTACGCATTCAATCCCCACGTCCCTAGCGCATGGAAACGCGCTACCCCACCTATCGGTATCAAGCAGCACACCACCTCCGGCATCATCGCCACTCCCAATGAACATCAAAAGCGAACCCGTGTCGCCGCCCCGGGACCATCATCATCACATCGGTGCCGGAATTCATCATGCGCACGTCCACAGTTTGAACCTTTCGCACAGTAGCCATCATACGAGGCCGAATTCGGCAGGTCAAATGACTCCAACACCTGGAAGCGTCACACCCACGAATATGCCGTCACCACCGGGACCGCCAAGTGGAAACGATTATGATAACGGGCCGCCAATGTTAAAGAGGTCGCGTATCGCTGAAGGTTGGCCATCGTAGGCCGCTCTTACCACCTTCAAATTGGGTGGCAAAAGCGGCGCTGAGCGCGACAAAACAGCGACACCGCGGAACGCTAGTGCCATATAGTGATTTTTTCCAAAATACACACACATACACACGTTTCTTTGCCAATATTGTCATCTATGTGATAAACTGTTAAAAAAAGAGAAGAAGAGTAATGAAAAAAAAAAAAAAGAATTAAAACAAAAAACAGTTTTGAATATTTTGATGATGAGAGAATTAAAAGATTTTAAAGAAATGGTTTAAGAAAAAAGAGATATAAAATTTGTTATAGTCCGCATTAAAAATAAAGTGAAGGACGCTATTTTCTATATAAATATGAAATTATAAAGATGAAAGTATATCGAGTCAATGAAATTTTCTTTTTTAAGTGTTTTCGGTTGTACGTATATAAATAATGTCTATATATTTATATACGGGTTAAGATGAAGAATTCAAATGAAGAATGCAATTGCGAGGAAGGAAAGTGAGGGTTATATTTTAATAAATGGTGCGGTGCGTCGGACGTACAAGTAAAAAAAAACATTTTTCCTTTGCGTTGACGTCTTAAAGTGGTTCCGGTCCCAAGTCGTCTAACGGAAAAGATAAAAAAAATTATATATATATAAAATAAAATAGCAATCGTTCAGAACGGCGGCAAGTTCTTATTTCGACCTTAAACGAACATGATTATATAGTGCCATTATTTTTCTTGTAATTATTAGTGTCTTTTTTATAAATGTTTTTAGATGACTAGTATATTATTTATAATGTACACTTGTTAATTTAGCCTGGATGCAGTCACTAACAAAACGATACAATGTGAAGAAAATATGAAAACAAATAAGAGAGAAAACGTCGGTTTTAAATCGACGAATTTAATAATGTACAACGTGAAGATACAATATGACGACAGAAATGACACGATATATATGTTATTTGATTAATTGTGAATGGAAACAGAGATTTTTATGAACCCGCACGAAACGATACGTTGTTTACGGGTTCTCGTATTTGTTATTACGTAATGTACTGGTGCTTTTTCCCCTACCTACCCCCAAAAACAAAACAAAAACAAGAAACCTCCCCCAGAATTGCCGATCGAACGTACTCTATCCGTTGGCTGTTGCGCGGCCCGCTTAGGCGGTCCAGCGTTTTTTTTGAATGTACTGCTTCCCCATGGAACCTAGAGTGTTCATTGTTGTAGCCTTTTCAATTTGTTTGTGATTTCAGAGTACGATGATATACATTACATATATATCTATTCTGTATATTGACCTACACAAATGATGAAGAAAAAAAAAGAAACAAAAATGATATATATGATGAGATGATACGATTATACATTATATTATATATATATACATATATATTTTATCTACTGTTGTGTGCACAAACCTTGCACATAGTTTTAAAGTTTACGGATTACTAATGCCCGGGCCGCCACGGCTGGAATAAAAAAAAATCGAGCCGATCGTGTAGCTGCGGATGAAAACCCTATCTCCACTGACTACTGTAGGAATGCCTTACTCACAGTGCCTAACAATATATGTGTACGTATCTATTTGTGTATGTACTACAACGTCGATGGTCGATGTCTGATAGTCATCGTCAATGTCCGAAAGATAAATAAGTAAATAAATTAAAAAAAAAAAAAACATATTTAATGAAAACCAAGCCGCTGCGGTACAACTCGTCGACTCTTCACAGGGTATTACGCCGTGTACACCTTTTACTCCATCATCCATACAAAATCAACTTTCATAATCATACAAATCTCACAATCATTACTATTAAAACCATACAAATGACAAAATCCACATTATCAACAATAGATTTGTTTTGGAGATAATTCCGGATTCTTCTGCGCTTGCCCAGTATCATTTTCAGTACTGCGCAAACGTAGGAGAAACGTCAACTGTTGCTAGAACAAACCTAACAAATATATGTATTATTGATTAGTTATGATTGTTTAGTTGATTTTATATGGATAATTCCACTCCGTCTGTGCTTAAACGGACAGACCATTACCGCTGCTTGTGCCTTCTTGTCTAACCCAGTACCTTCTGTTCCCGATCTGGCTTCCGTGTCACTGCACTCTTAAATGTGTCTTCTCTATGTTACTCGGTAAGGCCGTTACCGTTTAGACCCGTCTCATATCGAGAAGTCAATTGACACGTTCAGTTTAGTTAGATTTTCTCCTCCCCTCCCCTCTACATTTAGCTGATGATTTTACTGATTACGTTTTTTGAACGCCACATTTCTAAATGGACGAAATACACCGGCTACACCATTTTTTTTTGTACATATTTGATGTATTATTGTAGCGTTGCCACGTGTTCTCTTTTTATTTTATTTTTATTTTTTGGTTTATCCGCGTCGGTTTCTTTTTTAAACGAGTTCAAAATAATTTTTTTAAAAGTATATATATAATATTTTTTTTTTAATTCTTGGCATAAACATATATTGCGTCCATTTGATTTGGGCATTTTTTTTTTCAATCATGTGCAATATTAATCTGAAATTTATTTATCTATGATGTATTAAATTTAAACCAAATAAAATTGTTTGTTACAAACTGACGTTTTATTTACGTTAGTGCTAATATACCTCTGTCGAGCATTCTGCTTATTGCTTTTTAGTGTCTTAGTGTTAACTGTAACGATGCGTGTTAGAAAAAAATATCTCTCTTATTTCTTTTTCTGTTTGGGCATGTATTACTTCCCCTCCTTAAAGAATCAACTCGGTGTTGCATGGTACGCTTATTTGATATGTTTCACTTTTCTTACTTTTCGATGTCTAGTTTTTTAGTAGGAAATGCTTGTGCTAGTAAAACCCGGTGTTGCAGAAAAAAGATGAAAAAGAAAACGCAGCTACACTATTGTACATAGAAAGAAATATATATATACATATAGTTTTTCTCGTTTAGTCGTTCGTACCTTCCTCGTTCTAGTGTTTTTTGCAAAAAAATGGAATGCATCTCATTTAGCAACAAAAAAGGAGGAGATTTTATTATATGTATTCGTTCTATCCAAATATGAAAAAAAAGAAAAAGGTATAAATGTCCCCTTAATACTGCGTCCGAATACATTATGTACTCTGGGCATTTTATTAAAAAATGTGCAATATATATGAAGATTATTTATCTTAATGTATTAAATTTCAACCAAATAAAAACTGTTTGTTACAATATCATTTATTTCTTTTCTTTAACATTATTTATTTCATTAATCTCGTTAACATGTAATAAAGACAATACGAAAATAAACCAATGTATTTATTCTCATTTTTTTGCATGCTTATAACTACTATTATTAGTATTTAACAAACTTCTCGTTCGTTATTTGTACTTTTATTCAGGGTCACGTGACGAAAGAGCTCTCCCAATCCGTCTCGGTGCAATCGACCAGAAAAAGCTGGTTATATACGCATGAATTAAAGATAAAAAGAGAGAGACATAGCAATGGTAATTCCGATAAGTAGTAAGGTTTTACCAGGTTATCGATAAGTTGACAGCTAGTCTTCGCAATTTGCGAGTTTGTTTACGTCGATTAATGTAAAGAAATCTATAAAAATGAGTAACGCTAATGATTATGACGAGGATTTAACGACCGACGCCAAACCAATAGACACAGAACCCAACGTGCACAAAGAAAAATTAAATAAATCAAAATCGGACGATGGCGATACAAAACACACAAAACAGATTGAAGAGGATGTTGAAGATGCAATACCAATTACGTACAAAGTGAACAATATGAAGAAAAAAAAGGGAAAGAACCTAACTAATAGCCGTAAGTTTTTAGGCACGCTTTCTTTGTTGTACAAGTTGACATATTTAATTTTTTCCATAAATTAGCCACAGCAAACATAATAAATATTGCAAATTGTAATGGAGTACAAATTGGCAAAAGTATAACATACAACATACAAAAAAAAGAATCAAAAGATGAATCTGAAAAGAAGCAATATCAAAAAACTAAAACAATAACAAAACTATTTGATTGCAAAGAAAGGGTGAACGAGGATGATCTTATGTTTGTTTCAACTCATGTTGGCGAAGGCTGGCGAGATATCGGACGAAAATTGAAGTATTCTGATGGGCAAATATATCAATTTGAAGAAACACATAGAATAAAAGGAATCAAAGAAGTACCCTATCTTATCTTCATTAAATTAATTAATGAATTAATTTCATTTTAAAACTATTTTAGGTTGTTTATCAAATGTTATTAGATTGGATCCAAAACGAGCCAGAAACAGCAACGCTGGGAAAATTAAGTACAATTTTATGGGAAACTCAACAAGAAGAAGTCGTCCACCTGCTATCGACCAAATTAACTTTGTAAATAAGCTCAATTTGTGATAAAATTAACTTTTTTTTATAGACGTTTACAATTATTTTATAACAAAAAATACTGTAATATAACAATTTAAGATAATAAACGAACTAACAATTAATTTTTTTGGTGTTTTTTTTTGACATTCAAGAAGTCGATAAAGTAGGTAACTAATACATTTAAAACATTTTAATAATATAATAAAATTAAAATATAAACAAAAAAGTAACACAAATTAAATCGATACTAATTAAATAATATTTAACTTTAATAAATTTTCACTTGACATTTATAAAATTTGACGTGTCGGTTTAGTAGGAAATATGCCCGAAACAAAATAAAGTACTATTTGACAGGTAACATTCAACATTTTCGTGTAAAATATATAAATTAAACATAAATCGTTTAATATTTTTTAAAACAAAATTCATTCAAACAATGCAATAATTACCAGTGATGTGAAAGTACACGACGGTTTCGCCCGTACACAAAAGTAACCTACAAAACAAATGGCTCACTGCAAACTAACCCCACATGAGTTTATAAAAAATGCGTTTACGCCACAAATCGCAGTTATATGTAGCCCTAAAGTTGAAGAAATCAGCCAAAGGAATAACTTAACGTTCAGAGAACTATTACAACCGTTTTGTAAATTAGGAACTGAAGGTAAAGTTAGGTTATGTTCACATTTATTAACAATTTTTCTTATTAAATAAATGTGTTGGATTATTTATGAGAGTAAGATATTTTTGATATTTTTGTCACACCTTATTCTGGATTGACTCTGATATATGTGGTGTTAAAATTTACACCCTTAAGAAGTGTTATATTAATAATGAGAAAAACAAGGTGAGTTAAGTTTCCTACCTTTAAAAAGGTAAGCCACTGAAGCGCCTTAATTAATTAAGAAGAAAAAAAAATCATGACATAAAGAAGCTGTGGTAAGTGGATTATTTAATAAGTATTGCACAACAATTTTTGAAGTATAACCTCATTTATTTTGTTGTTAGTATTCGTTTCCCGCGCTATTAATTATCACAATTACTATCAGCATGAATCATACAACTGGTATAACACCTCTGCAGTATCAAGAAATGTAATACATACTAGAACGAAGTTGCTTTTTAGAGTAAGACTGATACATTATTACTATACAAGCTTAATTCAATAACATTTTTTTAGGAGCTATAATAAATCAGGAAGAATCGTTTATCTTCACTTCGCCGAGGTCGCTTGCGGGCGAGGCGCTAGATTTAAGTCATAAAATTAGTTAAGTTGAGGTTCGTATTTATAACGTGTCAATCCCAGCGCCTCGCCCGCAAGCGACCTCGGCGATATTCGATACACAATAGGTACTGGTATAAGAAAACATATTATAAATACAAACCTCAACTCAATTAATTTTATGACTCAAATCTAGCGCCTCGCCCGCAAGCGACCTCGGCGAAGTGAAGATAAACGGTTTCTCATACAAGTATTGAGTACTTAGTTTACTTTCCAAGACATCAAATTCACGATTTCATCAATACCGCCGAGGTCGCTTGCGGACGAGGCAGTGGATTTGGTATCCTAAATGACAAATTTCGTTGAATTAAGGTTTGTGTTTATAAAGTATCAGACCCAGCGCCTCGCCCTCCGCGAAATGAAAATAAACGATTTCTTATACAAGTATTGTGTACTTAATTTATTTTCCAAGGCATCAAGTGAACGATTTTATCTATTAACGCCGAGGTCGCTTGCGGGTGAGGCGCTAGATCTGATACTTTATAAACATAAACCTTAATTCAATGAGATTTGGCATTTAGGAACTAAGATACCAGTTCCACCGCCTCGCCCGCAAGCGACCTCAGCCAAGTGAAGATAAACGATTTCTTATACAAGTATTGTTTACTTAGTTTACTTTCCAAGACATCAAGTGAACGACTTCATCTAATACCGCCGTGGTCGCTTGCGGGCGAGGCGCTGGGTTTGACACATTATAAATACGAACCTCAACTCAACTAATTTTATGACTCAAATCTAGCGCCTCGACCGCAAGCGACCTCGGCGAAGTGAAGATAAACGATTTCTTATACAAATACCTATTGTGTATCTAATACCGCCGAGGTCGCTAGCGGGCGAGGCGCTGGGATTGATATATTATGAACACGAACCTCAACTTACTAATTTTATGACTCAAATCTAGCGCCTCGACCGCAAGCGACCTCGGCGAAGTGAAGATAAACGATTTCTTATACAAGTACCTATTGTGTATCTAATACCATCGAGGTCACTTGTGGGCGAGGCGCTGGGATTGATACATTATGAACACGAACCTCAACTCGACTAATTTTATAACCACGTGATATCAAATCTAGCGCCTCGCCCGCAAGCGACCTCGGCGAAGTGAAGATAAACGATTTTTCATACAAGTATTGTGTACTTAATTTACTTTCCAGGACATCAAGTGAACGATTTCATCTAATACCGCCGAGGTCGCTTGCGGGCGAGGCGCTGGAACTGTTATCTTAGCTCCTAAATGCAAAATTTCATTGAATTAAGGTTTGTGTTTATAAAGTATTAGACCTAGCGCCTCGCCCGCAAGCGACCTCGGCGAAGTGAAGATAAACGATTTCTCATACAAGTATTGTGTACTTAGTTTACTTTCCAAGACATCAAGTGAACGATTTCATCTAATACCGCCGAGGTCGCTTGCGGGCGAGGCGCTGGGTTTGACACATTATAAATACGAACCTCAACTCAACTAATTTTATGATTCAAATCTAGCGCCTCGCCCGCAAGCGACCTCGGCGAAGTGGAGATTAACGATTTCTCATACAAGTACCTATTGTGTATCTAATACCGTCGAGGTCGCTTGCTGGCGAGGCGCTGGGATTGACACATTATGAATACGAACCTCAACTCGACTATTTGTATAACTACGTGATATCAAATCTAGCGCCTCGCCCGCAAGCGACCTCGGCGAAGTGAAGATAAACAATTTTTCATACAAGTATTGTGTACTTAATTCACTTTCCAAGACATCTAGTGAACGATTTCATCTAATACCGCCGAGGTCGCTTGCGGGCGAGGCGGTAGAACTGCTATCTTAGCTCCTAAATGCAAAATTTCATTGAATTAAGGTTTATGTGTAACGTAGGCGGAGGAAAGGGACCGCCGCCACCAATGTAACGGGTGCTGCCGCCAATGTAACGTGGACGGGGTAAAAGGAACACCGCCACCAACGTTATGCGTGTACTTACAGTAAAAGAGAAAAGATTATAGAAAATTTTTGAGATGCTGCCACCAGGCAAGTTACGTACTTGGCCGAACGGTTTAAGAAGTTAATGAGTAAAAGGAGGGAGGATTGTAGCCCTTGTGTTGAAATTGAAATAATACGAAACAAGAATTTATATAAAAAAATATTAATATATTAAATTGAGAAAAATAAAATATATTAAAAAAAATAGAATAACCAAAAAATTAAGTTAAAATATTAAAAAAAAAAAAAGAAAACTAATTGAACAAATTTTGGAATACAGAACGTCAATTTCGGATACAATTTATACTAGCGATAATCATGAACTCCAAGAACAATCTTAATTGATTTTACTTACTTTTTCTACGCCACAACGACGCTCTTCTACCAGGATTCAGACGCTTCAGGAGCTGGCTTCAAGGCACAATCTCGAAAGGGGTTAGATTTCTCGGGCAAATCACCCAGGACAAACCACCAGCGTATTTAGCAGCTTTTTCCGAATTTAATATTGAGAATTTAAATTAAATAAAAAAAAATGGAGCGAACTTAAGACTCCTCAAGTCGAACTCGGTGGCGCATCAACGCCTCACGTGATAAAGCTGACTTAAGCAAAATAATTATACAAAACTCAATTTAATATACATGGCGGTTTGTTACATATGTTTATAAAGTATTAGACCTAGCGCCTCGCCCGCAAGCGACCTCGGCGAAGTGAAGATAAACAATTTCTCATACAAGTACCTATTGTGTATCCAATACCGTCGAGGTCGCTTGCAGCCGAGGCGCTGGGATTGACACATTATGAATATGAACCTCAACTCGACTAATTTTATGACTACGTGATATCAAATCTAGCGCCTCGCCCGCAAGCGACCTCGGCGAAGTGAAGATAAACGATTTTTCTAAATCGATTTTTTAAAATTTATTTTCCAAGACATCAAGTGAACGATTTCATCTAATACCGCCGAGGTCGCTTGCGGGCGAGGCGGTGGAACTGCTATCTTAGCTCCTAAATGCAAAATTTCATTGAATTATGGTATGTGTTTATAAAGTATTATACCTAGCGCCTCGCCCGCAAGCGACCTCGGCGAAGTGATGATAAACAATTTCTCATACAAGTACTGTGTACTTAGTTTACTTTCCAAGACATCAAGTGAACGATTTCATCTAATACCGCCGAGGTCGCTTGCGGGCGAGGCGCTGGGATTGATACATTATGAACACAAACCTCAACTCAACTAATTTTATGATTCAAATCTAACGCCTCGCCCGCAAGCGACCTCGGCGGTATTAAATGAAATCGTTCCCTTAATGTCTTGGAAACTAAATTAAGTACACATTAGTTGAATGAGAAATTGTATATCTTCACATTACATGCCTAACTGAAAAACTAATATTATAAGAGTTAAACCAGCAATTACTAATACAAAATTACCTCAAATTACAAAAAGTAGCAAATTTTTTTATCTTTCTCTCATAAATAGTTATCTAATGATGAAATTAAATAAAAATTACTAAAATTTATTCTATTTAATTTATGTATTTTTTAGCCCATTACAAAGATCCAACTGGAAATGTAGTTTCAATTAGAAATTTTAAAATAAATTTACAAGACATTAACTTTCGACCACCTCAACCGACTCTGGCAAGAAAATTTTTAAATTCTTCCGTTAGCGAAGCACCGGACGTGCGTTTTCAAAACAACAACGTCGGAGAATACATTTTGCACGTTCCCACATCGGTCCCTTGGTTCGAACAGTGGCGAGATACGTTTTTACAAGTGCAATTTCCATCTGATCATGAATTTACGAAACATTTCGTTGCTTGTATGTTGGTTATTTCATCGTGCGATGAAAATCCTGTGAGAACTATGATAGATTTAGCTCAAAAAGTAAATGATTTGCAATCGTCTAATAAACTTCCGAAATGGTTTAGTCATAATATTTTGAGATATTATGTTGTAGTACATGAAAAACATGATCCTAATAATGTAGGGTAAGTCCCAATTAAAAATCATTGATTAGAATATAATTGAAGTTTAAATAATTTTTTTTAAGTGCTGTGGAATGTTTTGATAATTTAAAAATGCAATTTGGTATTAATAACGTATTTTTATTGCGTACAAATTCTCGAAAACCTAGCCAATCGGATGATATGTTACCAGATCCTTGGAGTCAATTTATTTCTACAGTAATTCAAAGTGGAGAATATGAAGTAACACCAGAAGCATCTCCAACGATGAGTAAATCGTTTGTTGATACAGATTTAGAACAAGAACTAATTACTGAAAATGGAAACAGTGGTTTAACTTACCATCCATTAAGTCCTGAACAAGAAAAACTAATAGCTATTGAAGAAGTAGTCGAAATTAAGCAAAGAAAAAATGTGAGTCATGGTAGTTATCTTACCATGGAAGATATTGAACAATTAAAATTATTAATACACGAATTTTGTACTCGAGCACTTTTTCCTTTTATTGAACGACAAGTTAGTACCTTACATGAATTTATTACAAACAAAAAAGGTGTAAGTCGATCGTTTATAAGTGCTACAAAGAGGTGGTTTACTCCTACTAAACCTGGAAGTAGTGCAATACCAACAACACCAACATATTTTCCCGACGCTCCTGAATTACAAGTTCGAAGACTAGGGGATTTATGTTTCATGTTCGGGCATTATACGATGGCGTTTCAAGCGTATCACACCGCGAAAAGGGATTTTAACGCAGATCAAGCTTGGTTATTTTACGCTGGTGCTCTTGAAATGGCCGCTTTAAGTGCTTTCATGGCCAACGAAACTTCTAGGAAGACACTCGATTATATGGATGAAAGTATTACAACTTATTTAAATATTTGCAAGTAAGATTATTAAATAATTTATTAAAAAAAATTTATTGATTTATTAAAAATTGATTTAGATTGCCTCAATTCGCAACAAGAGCGACGTTATTGAGTTCGGAATGTTTAAAAGGAAGGCAAATGTACGGCGAGGCTGCTCACCAACTTATTAGAATGACGAGTGAGGAGTCCGATTTACGATCGGCTTTGTTACTCGAACAAGCTGCTTATTGTTTTTTAATATCTACAAAACCGTGTATGGTGAGAAAGTACGCGTTTCATATGGTTTTAGCTGGTCATAGGTTTTCCAAAGCTACGCAAAGGAAACATTCTTTTAGGTAAAGTCGATAAATTAATCTTAAAATTATATTAATAAATTTCTTTGGTAATCTATGTTGCGAGTTATAAAAGTAAATAAATATCAAATTTATGTGTTTAAATAAAATAACTTCTTTTCCGCTACAAAATTAATGTAATCACTACCGGTTTTGGCTAATAGGTCATCATAGGTCATAATAGGGCAAAAATGTACAAAAAACTTAGATATAAGTTAAAAACTTAAAAATTTTAAAATAAAAGTGATAAAATAACAACGACAAATGAAATTACAAACTGTACAATACTTGCATGAGAAACCGTTTATCTTCACATCGCCGAGGTCGCTTGCAGGCGAGGCGCTAGATTTGAGTCATAAAATTAGTTGAGTTGAGGTTCGTATTTATAATGTGTCAAACCCAGCGCCTCGCCCGCAAGCGAGCTCGGCGGTATTAGATACACAATAGGTATTTGTATAAGGAATCGTTTATCTTCACTTCGCCGAGGTCGCTTGCGGGCGAGGCGCTGGGTCTGATACTTTATAAACATAAACCATAATTAATTCAATGAAATTTTGCATTTAGGAGCTATGATACCAGATCCACCCCTCCGCCCGCAAGCGACCTCGGCGGTATTAGATGAAATCGTTCGTATTATTTACTTAGTTTACTTTCCAAGACATTAAGTGAACGATTTTATCTAATACCCCCGAGGTCGCTTGCGGGCGAGGCACTGGGATTAATAAATTATGAATGCGAACCTCAACTCGACTAATTTTATGACTACATGATATCAAATCTTGCGTCTCGCCCGCAAGCGACCTCGGCGAAGTGAAGATAAACGATTTCTCATACAAGTATTGTGTACAGGGTGTCTCAATTTCGTTGTCCGCGTAGGCTATCTCCAAAACTAAAAGAGATAGAAAAAAAATAGCTTACATGTTATGATCTCGTTTTTCGAGAAAATGCTAATGCCGAAAACTCCGAACAGCTATCGTCTTTTGTTTTCGCCCTATCGGCAAAAACTGAAAATTTTGCGAAAACGACAATCGCGAATATCTCACTTATTATCAAAGATGGAGTATTATAAATAAAACATTATATGGGCAACTTTTTACGAAGAATTCAGTGGCGTAGGTAGAATTTTTTTCCCATCTTTTATTTTCGAGATTTGAGACATAACTTTATTTTTTTAAATGGAAACCATAGTTGGCTATGACCTAAAATAATTTGTTATTTTCTTCTGATAACAAATATATATAGTTTGTGGGGTATATTTCTTATAGTTATTGAATAATTAACAAAAATTCATTTTGTTCTATCTAAAACTAATGTATGTATTTAAAAGTTAATGTTGCTATGGTGATAACCATACATACTATGATGGAACATAATGTATCAAATAATTGCCAAAGTTTGTATTTAAAAATTCGATAACAACTCTGGCATTATGTGCTGGTACGATGCACCAGCATGTTAAGTGTCAAAGTATAACAAAACTGAATAAAACTTTACAATGAATTTCGAAAATTATGAAAAATGTAACATGATGGAATGCTATATGTTATCAGATAAGAATGCGACGTTAGCCGCGGAATTTTATTTCACAAGATATCCAGAAAGAAGACAACCGCACGTACGAACCTTCAGCCGGTCAGCAGAAAATTTAATAGATATTTGGTCCTTCCCCAAACCACATACAAAAACATACCAAAATGACCTGCAAGAGAAATTGCAACAAGACGTCTGACCCAAAAGACGCTGCTCCCGAATATGAAAGAAAAATAAGTATAAACCATACAAAGCGGGGCTAACTCATTATTTACGTGCCGGAGATGTCAATCGAAGATTAGAATTTTGTAGATGATATTTAAAAAAATTAAATAATCTGCTGTTTGTTCAAAATGTAATCTGGACCGATGAAGTCTCTGAGTGTTCAAAGAAGATTGGGGTTCAATGTATGGTGTGCCCTTTTAGATAATAGAATTTTGGCATATAGTATCTACCATAAAAACTTAAACTCAGGGAAATACCTCAATATATTAAGGCAGCACATTGAGCCTTTGGTCGACAATTTGCCACTAAATATGTCTCAAATGATATATTTTCAATATGACGGAGCACCAGCACATAATGCCAGAGTTGTTAGTGAATTTTTAAATACTACTACAAACTCAAGGACAGTAGAATCTAACAGGACTGCTACATCCATTGTTGTGACAGCCTACCCGCAAACTACGTCACACCATTTTCCACGCCTAGCTGTTGTTATGGTCTATGCGTTTGCTGTGTGTTTTTAGAGGTTATATCCTAGACGTATTCATATTAGTTTTGAAGTTTTATGTTTTTAGACGTATTAATGTCTATCATATAACCTCTAAAAACATAGACAGTTATCAGGCGTGGCAAATAGTGTGACGTAGAGTGCGGGCAACCAACCCGTAGTCGACTACAAAAATACAATGGATGTAGCAGTCCTGTTAGATTCTACTGTCCTTGCTACAAACTTTGGCAATAATTGGAAACAATGCTTTCCCTCATGGTATGGTTATCACCATAACAACATTAAGTTTTAAATACATACAATAGTTTTAGAAAGAACAAAAAAAATTGATACATTATATTCCATCATAGTATGTATGGTTATCACCATAGCAACATTAACTTTTAAATACATACATTAGATTTAGATGGAACAAAATGAATTTTTGTTAATTATTCAATAACCATAAGAAATATACCCCACAAACTATATATATTTGTTATCAGAAGAAAATAACAAATTATTTTAAGTCATAGCCAACTATGGTTTCCATTTAAAAAAATAAAGTTACGTCTAAAATCTCGAAAATAAATGATGGGAAAAAAATTCTACCTACGCCACTGAATTCTTCGTAAAAAGTTGCCTATATAATGTTTTATTTATAATACTCCACCTATGATAATAAGTGAGATATTCGCGATTGTCGTTTTTGCAGGGTGTCCCAATTTCGATGTCCGCATAGGCTATCTCCGAAACTAAAAGAGATAGAAAAAAAGTAGCTTACATGTCATGAACTCGTTTTTCGAGAAAATGCTAATGCCGAAAACTCCGAACAGCTATCGTTTTTTGTTTTCGGCCTATCGGCAAATATTGAAAATTTTGCGAAAATGACAATCGTGTATATCTCACTTATTATCAAAGTTGAAGTATTATAAATAAAACATCATACGGGCAACTTTTTACGAAGAATTCAGTGGCGTAGGTAGAATTTTTTCCCGTCTTTTATTTTCGAGATTTTAGAAGTAACTTTATTTTTTTAAATGGAAACCATAGTTGGCTATGGCCTAAAATAATTTGTTATTTTCTTCTGATAACAAATATATATAGTTTGTTGGGTATATTTCTTATAGTTATTGAATAATTAATAAAAATTATATACAGTGTGACCCATTTGAAAGCGGAGCACCCTCGTAAAATGTGTATTTATTATCCGATTTCGACAATTTTTTTTTGAATTGTTGACCATAAACAACTGTTCCTTCGGATCAAGAGTCATGTTTTTCTTAGAAAAGCCAAGGCCTACTATTTCACTTTTTAGGTGCTAAAAATGAAGAAACCATATTAGGAAATTTTTTACAAAAAATCTGAGTACACCACTGCATTAAGCACCTTTCGAAATGGACATATACCAAGTTTCATCAAAAATGGTTATAAATTAAAACCATCATTTTTTATGAATTTATTTGATTTCATCTAGTAAACCATGACAAAAAGTTAATAAAATACAGACAATAATACAAAAACTATTTATAACTACACATTTGTTACAGATGAAATTAATTGATAAAAAATTATATTACAGGGGTAACATTACTACAGAGTGGGCAAATTTGGGTGTTATTATAAGCTTAAGCGGTGTTATTAAAGTAGGTGCCATGTCCCGGTCTCTTTTTTCGAGACTATTCCAATCCCGCAAACACACAACCTCTATCTTCTTTTGTTTTCAAGTTATAACCAAAAATTAAAATTTTCGTGATTTCAAAAAATGCTCATATTTCTCTCATAAATGGGGTGTTACGTTCTTAAGACACTTTTTTAAGTAGAATATACTGCCGTTGAAGAATTTTAAATATACTTGATGATTTTTGAGATACAACACAAAATTGTGTTTTTTTAAATATATATACTTGATTATGATGTTACTGAAAAGAGCTTTCCAATGATGTATCGCATGTGTGGTGTCTTTGCAGAAAATAAGCTTTAATTTTCAATTCCAAAATAGTAAGCGCCAAATTATTCAAAATTTTGATTATAGTAGGCGGGTCCGGACAATAAATACTACCTAGTGGCTATAACATATGGTTTTGCACGAATATGACAGAATAAAGGTGGTTTTGTACTATTATTCAGGATAAAGTTGGTTTTGTACCAACGAATAAAAACTTTGAATAGTTAATTTAACTTTCTCAACAGCTTATCCCTGACTTTATTCACCAATAAAAAATGGTAAGCAAGTAAAGATTGTTTATTAAAAATACAAGAAATGTAAGACAGCGATATCTTCATATATTTTGTAGCGAGAAAGAAGTTATTTTATTATAAATTTTATATTTAAAAATTTATTTATTAATAAATTTGTTTAGATGTTATAAGCAAGCGTTTGAAGTATACGAAAATAAAGGTTGGAATTTAGCCCAAGATCATATTCAATACACAATAGGAAGGCAAGCAAGTAACCTGGATTTGTTGGAGGAAGCGGTAAGAGCTTATTCGAAACTTTTAAGCGACCAAAGCAAACAGTCCTCGCAACAACAAGCGATATTTCTAAAAGAATATTTAACAATTCAAAGCGCTTTAAATATAAAAAATAATAACACCTCAACGCAAGTGTTACCTTTACCAATAATAGATACATCCGGTTTAAAATTATTAGTGGCCCCAACCCCACCTTTAAGAACGCCAGGAAAAGTTTCAGCGATGGGAATTTCATTATCGCACTCAGAAACGTCGGTAGAACTATCGAGATGGACGAAATTAGAAGAGATGTTAGTCCAGGAAGCTCAAGGATCACTTCCAATGATATTCAAACCTCTAGTTACATTATTCACAAAAGAAAACGCAACCATTTCAACGCCTACAGCGATTTTAGGCGAACCAATTCAAGTTTCCGCTCATTTAAAAAACCCCTTACATATTAATTTATTACTAAAAGACGTCCATCTCCTATGGAATTATCGCGGCGAAACGGAAAATATAAATAACGACAACCAAAACGAAAATTCCAATAAATATTTAAAAACGCATTACGTTAATAACATCGTTTTACAATCAAATTCCCTTCAAGAAGTTATTTTAATGTTAACCCCCTTAGCTGTTGGGGAGGTAAAATTAATCGGGATTTGTTATAGTTTAGTTAGCTCGTTTAGCGATGATGATCAAACCGAAGTAAAAGGTAAACAATTATTCGATAATAAACCCGATGATAAACGTTTTGAAATAAAAATTGTCCCATCTGCGTCGTGTTTGCAAGTATATTTTACCGAAATTAGCTCGGATATGTTAAAAAACGAACTGCAACACGTTAATATTGAGCTGAGAAATGTCGGCACCGTTCCGTTACATAAAATATACATGGCGACATCCAAACCGGAATTATTATCTTGTTGCGAATTCGCTATAAAACAAAATTTTGAAACAATCGATATTGATTTGAATTCACCGGCGATTCGCGAAAGAGAAGCGCGGAAAAATCATGTGATAAATCTTCCATTAGTTCAATTAGAACCAGGACAAATGAAAACGTGTAATATTTGGATAAAAGCATCGGATATTACTAATACATTAGATTTATTAATTTATTACGAAAATATTGACCCAGTGAGTATACCAAGATATCGGTTAGTACGCCACGTTTGGAACTTTCAAATACATGATTCATTAAAGGTTGATTTAAAACCATATCAAAGCCACACTGCGGAAAATGTTGAACAATTATCGTTATCATTAAAAGCAATGAACATGAATAAAATTCACTCACCGATTTATTCTCAAATAACAATATTAAACGCAGCTATTTTGAGTGAAAATTGGATTTTATTAAACGAAGTAGTTAACCCGGAAATTATTGAATTAGGACCTCAAGATTCAGCCCATATTTTATTAAAAGCGAAAAGAATATTGAAAAAGAATATAAACAATCAAATTAATTTCATAAAAATTCCACCCAATTATCCTAAAGCTGGTTATTTAGATTTTGCCCAAAGAATCGATCAGAATCGTATTAATATTTTTAACGAATCTGTTTGCGAGACTAATAACGATCAAAAAGAAGGAACGGTCATTTTACGGTGGAAAGCTAAAGTCGCGGATACCGTGGGAAATGAACGCTATGTTTACGGCCAAAACCAAGTTATTATTAATTTAGAAAAAATTGAAGAAGACGATGAAAGCGGATATAAAGGACCTATTGTTTTCTCCGACGGAAAAAATGACGATAATTTAGTTACAACTAAAATTAAAGAACAAGAAGAATTACAACGCAAAGAACAACAAATTCGATGCAACGTTATTCACCCAACAAAAATAATTCATAACTTTCAAATAAATAAATTATGTATTATTCGAGTTAAATTATTATTACATAGTACCGTCGATGATACAGATTTAGAAGTAATCATTAAAACTTTAGAAACATCTAAGTAAGTATTTATTTAACAATAATTAATTAAATTATTACAAAAATTCTTTTTAGTCCTTTTCCTTCGGGCGTTAGTCAACGACCACTATTTTCACCGTTTTCATCAAAACACTGCCGTTGGGTGCAACTTGGCAGCACGATTCGGAGATTACCACCGCTGAATTCGGAAACAATCGACTTGTCGCTCGCCGTTTTGGGTCCGGGCACATACGATTTGGGCTCTCACTTGGAGATTTGGTGCCAGAAAGTTAACCAAGCCGAAACTGCCATCCTCCAAAGTTGCCGAATACAATCCTCGGTTATAGTCACCGCTCCCGCGTGAATTTATATTTTATATCTCTCCTTTAATGTACATTAATTAGTTTGTATTTAATTTCAATGTTCATTTTTAAATTTTTTTCTAATACAGTGTATCCCAAAAAGTCAATAATACCCAATTTAATTGGTTAAATTCAATATACAAGGTGGTCCATTACTTATGGAACACTTACAAACTCAATTCTTTATAATTCTTAATAATAACGAAGATACAGATGAAATTGGTAATAAAAATTTGGTATTAGTTTTGATTTATCTTTCAGGTGGCGCTGACTGCCTTAAAAAAACTAACTTAAAGTAGTCATATCTTTTTCATTGTTAAAATTTATGAAACAGTTTCTCAGACATTTTTACATTAATTTGGTATACCTACCAATCTTTTATAAAAATCTACGTTTCTAAAATAATCAATATTTAAGTAAAATCTGTATTAATAATTGGACTAAGATACAGATTATTAAAGTTAATGCTTCATTTTCGTTTTTCTTTAATAATTTCCACTGTCAATTGGTATTAATACTAGATTATTAATGCCAATTGACAGTGTTTGACTAAATAAATTCATTTTATTAAACAGTGGTTATCTTGAAAACTAGATTGAAAACTAGGAGAACTTTAGAGAAGATTGGTAGGTGAACCAAATTTATGTAAAAATGTCTGAGAAACTGTTTCAAGTTGTGTGAGTTGTAAAAATTTAAAGCTGAAAAAGATATGACCACTTTAAGGGAGTTTTTTATTATTGATTATGCCTAATTATAGAAGAAAGAATACACAAAAAGACACAAAAAACTGTTGTAAGCTCACAATGAGGTGATTAAGAACATCTACTTATGATATTATTCTCTGCATTGATTGTCCAGCCGGATATTTATGGGCTATTATTAGTTGTAGTGACAATTGCAAGAGAGTCAGATAAAACGAATACCCGTAATAACAATTTTTGTTGCTTGTATAACGATAATTTGATGAGTAGATAGCAGAATGTTTGTTGAAAATCTACTGGTGCTATTTTTTATCAAATTTAGACATTTCAGAGTGAGGTTGGATTGTTTTTGCAGCTTCTTTTTCGGTACCTTTATACTTATATGTCAATGTTATTCTCTTTAAACAGTGGATTATTTCTTAATATATTTCTTAATAAAAATAATACCAAATTATTATTTATCGTCTTAAAACATGATAATGTACCAATTTTCATGTTCATAATGTAAAAGGAAGCGAAATTATGAAAGAAAAACAAAAATACCACCTGTATTTTCGTAATTAAATAATAATTTAAGCTAAGCAATTATTAATGGACCAACCTGTATATATTTTTTGAAATTCTTTGTATAATAATGTTATTTAATATACAGTGTGTCCCAGGATAGATGTTACAAGAGGTATAATGACTTAAAAACTTTTAAATTTTATTTTAATGCTAAGGAATTAAGCCTTGATTGGTGTGAAGAGAATTTTAAGAATATTTTCATATTTTGAAAATGTAAAGTAACCTTTTTATTCATGATACGGAAAAATTTTATTAAGAAAAGTTGTTTAAAATGAGAAATTACAAAATTTCAGACTTTGCTTGAATCATATTTTAGTTTAAATAACATAAATATTGTATATTAATTGAAATGTGAACTAAAACTGAGGGATAATACAATTTATTTGTCAATATTTGCGACTACTTAAGTCATTTTTTTTTTCGTGGCATTTTTCATTGTTTTTTTTTCATCCTTATCTAATCTAAAATATGGTGGTTTAATCAATATAGGTAGATCTTTCTGAAATTTTGCATAGTGCGATAATTTTTCATTCTAAACAACTTTCCTTAATGACATTTTGCCGTATCATGAACAAAAAGACCGAGTTGATTTTCAAAATATGAAAATATACGTAAAATTCTCTCCACACCAAGCAGGGTGGAGAAATTCCTCAGCCTAAAATAAAATTCAAACATTTTTAAGTGATTATACCTCTTGTAACATCTATCCTGGGACTCACTGTATATACAGGTGTGTCAAATGTCTGGAATATAGCCAATAACTCCGCCATTTGTGGTTTTAAAGAGAAATGTTTCAAATAAAAAATTCTTTATTAATTGTGGCGCATTTTTTGACTATACTTGCTTGTTTACATTGTTCTTTGTTTCGTTGCTATGGCAACCAACATTGTTATTTTAAATGGGATGCATATACTTTTTTTTGCGTATTTTTATAGAGGATAAGTCTCTCTATGTGATGAACATATCAAATCGTATGGTTGAATAAGAAAAAAATCGAGAAAAAATGCGTTTTTTAAAAGTCTTAAATTAGCTAATTACAATCGAAGTAGGCGCCGAAATAATGCCGTTGACAGCTTTAAATGTCAAAAAAAATTACGGTTGCAACAATTATCAATAATTAATAATGTATGGTTCATTAATTAATAATATATGGTTAATTAATTAATAACACTTCCGGTGTTAAATTTTTTTGTTAATATTTTGGCTACTGTGGACTGTGTAATTTATGTATCCGGGTAAATATTATTGAACAGTGCGAACACAACTTTACTTTGAGTGCGTTTTCTATCACCTGCACCGTACCCATACATTATTAATATTTGCGCCATATTTGCTTAAACTGTCAGTTTTTTTTACATTTAAAGCTGTCAACTGCGTTATTTCGGCGCCTACTTTGATTTTTTCTCGATATTTTTCTTATACATCCATATGATTTAATATGTTCATCGAATAGAGGGACGTATCCTCTATCAAAAAAAATATATGCATCCCATTAAAAATAACAATGTTGGTTGCCATAGCAACGAAACAACAAACAAGCAAATATCGCCAAAAAATGCACCATGATTAATAAAGAACCACAAATGGCGAAGTTATTGGCTATATTCCAGACATTTGACACACCTGTATGTATAATGGGAATTCCAGTTATTTTAATTAATTAATTAATCCTTATTGAAGTTATTTTTGTATAAAGAATGTAATAAAAAGTACTGTAGACCGATTTTTTGGTGAACACTGTATATTGTCTTATTACTATTTATTATAATTTTAATGTAACATCACTTCTAACGTAAAGTACAAGTTTATTTTAAATAATTAAAAATTTGATGATGTTGAAATTTAAAAATGAACGTTTTTATGTATATACGGATGTTCCAAAAATTGTTTTTTTTATTGTAATCTAATTTTTGTTTATGTTGTTTATAAAATGAAGTCACCAAAAAAAAAAATGAAAATATTAATAAATAAACTTAAAAAAAAAGGTGTATAATAATTATAATAAAAAGTCTTTGTAATTATAATTAATTAAATTGTTTGTTTCTTAAAAGAAATAAAAATTGTTATAACAAAACGAAATTTTGATTTAATCTTGAAATCGTTATGGTATTAGTATAATTATATTAGTGTAAAAAGGGGTTATTTTCAAAGGACCTATTTTTAAAAAAATCATAATGAGATAGGATTTTTTTATCTTAATACTTAATGAGTGTGTGATTCGACACGTCCCCGTTTTGTTTAATATTAATTTGTCAACAAATGGAAGCAAGTGTGTGTGAATAGTAGAATTTTTTGAGTCATCAAATGTTAGAGCTTTTGCTTATTTGGCAGGCAGTCGGTCGGTGGAACGGAAGCGCGTCGGGTTGAGGAGGTTAGAAAGAAATCGCGTTAATTTCCGGAACGTTAAACGTAAGTTAAAAAAATCGTAGTGAAAATATTCGAAAGAAAATTTAAAATAAATTCGAAGAAACGGTCAACGAATCCAACGTAGCTAAAAATAAATACATATCGGAACTTGTTCCTTTAGTCGATAAAGTAGATACCTCGTTGAAGTGTAAAGTGACAACCCTGGACCGTACTGTTAAAAAATATTATTAAAAAAAAAATTAAAAGGAAGCATTTTAAAATAAAAGTAAAAGTGATAAAGAATCTTTTTCGATTTGATTTAAAAATAAAGGTAAGTGGGGCTAATAATTTAAGTTTTGATTTGTGGGTTTATTGGGGAAATATATCATGGTTGTCGGTTCGATTTCGGTTCTAGTTCGGTCCTGTTCGGGCTGGCAATGCACTTTTAGAGGGGTACACGATATACTGAAACGTGTGCGCCTGGTGCTAGCCTCTTGCCCAGTCTATCGTGGCGGGATGTTAACTTCCATCTTGGATCGCGATCGTCGTCCAGAAGCCGGCTTTCGTTAAATAAAAACGCGATCCGCGCGCACGTAAACGTTAGTTTTAGTTCAAATGATTCGCGAGAAACGTGTTTTTTGATCGTATTTGTGAACCGCCCGAGATGAACTAGGTATGATTTTCAAAATAACGATGTAGTGTAGGCTGCAACCCATCGTTCCAAAAAGTTCTCTCTAATACGGACGAATGGCGTGTGCTCGCCTATACAGTTTAACCATTTAATAATAAAAAAAAATACAACCAAAAAAATATATAAATAAAAATAAATCAAAAATACTGGTGCCGTTTGTTTAGTTATGCTGATTGTATGTTCTAGATTAGCTATACAGTGCCTTAAACAAGGTAACTTTTAAGCTACAACCACCAAAATATATAACCTAAACTAATCCAACAATTTATTAATACCCCAAAAAAAATGAATTAATTTCTTCTTTTTTCAGTGACGGCTGATTCCATTCGTTTAGTCAAAGCTTATGATCTGCGATTTGTGAGCAGCGCCCGTAACAGCGCCCTATTAGCTAAAGCAACTATGGCAGTACCAAGCAGATCACGCGTTTACACCGACGTTAATTCCCTCAAACCCAGAGAATATTGGGATTACGAGAGTTACGTAGTCGATTGGGGCCAGCAAGACGACTATCAGCTGGTTCGGAAACTTGGTCGTGGAAAATATAGTGAGGTCTTTGAGGCCATTAATGTTACAAATAACGAAAAATGTGTAGTTAAAATATTAAAGGTAAGATATGTAGTATCATATACTGAGTTCCATAAAAATTGCAATACCTAGAATTTATTGAACGATTTTTTTTTTTTTTTTTCAATAATGAGTTGCTCCACCATGATTTATAATGTACTCATTTAGACAGAGATCATGTAAGTTGTGATAAATCAAGCGACTGAGGTTCTTCCAAAAAACGTGTTGTAATGTGCATCATCCTGTTAGAAAATGGGATTTTCCAGCCCCTGAAGATATGGAAGCGCAAGGAGCCATCAATGAAGACCACCTACCGTAACATATTGCACTCCAAAAAATGATCCTCCAATTCGCTCCATAAACGAAAAAATCGTTTATGTTCACTTCGCCGAGGTCGCTTGCGGGCAAGGCGCTGGGACTGATACTTTATAAACACAAACCTTAATTCAATGAAATTTGTCATTTAGGATACCAAATCCACTGCCTCGTCCGCAAGCGACCTCGGCGGTATTGATGAAATCGTGAATTTGATGTCTTGGAAAGTAAACTAAGTACTCAATACTTGTATGAGAAATCGTTTATCATCACTTCGCCGAGGTCGCTTGCGGGCGAGGCGATAGATTTTAATCATAAAATTAGTTGAGTTGAGGTTCGTATTTATAATGTGTCAAACCCAGCGCCTCGCCCGCAAGCGACCTGGGCGGTATTAGATGAAGTCGTTCACTAATACAAGTCTTGGAAAGTAAACTAAGTAAACAATACTTGTATGAGAAACCGTTCATCTTCACTTCGCCGAGGTCGCTTGCGGGCGAGGCGCTAGATTTGTCATAAAATTAATTGAGTTGAGGTTCGTATTTATAATATGTTTTCTTATACCAGTACCTATTGTGTATCGAATATCGCCGAGGTCGCTTGCGGGCGAGGCTCTGGAATTGACACATTATAAATACGAACCCCAACTTAATTAATTTTATGACTCAAATCTAGCGCCTCGCCCGCAAGCGACCTCGGCGAAGTGAAGATAAACGGTTTCTCATACAAGTATTGAGCACTTAGTTTACTTTCCAAGACATCAGGTTCACGATTTCATCAATACCGCCGAGCTCGCTTGCGGGCGAGGCGGTGGAACTGTTATCATAGCTTCTAAATGACAAATTTCATTGAATTAAGATTTGTGTTTATAAAGTATCAGACCCACGCCTCGCCCTCAAGCGACCTCGGCGAAGTGAAGGTAAACGATTTCTCATACAAGTACTTATTCAGTATCTAATACCGCCTAGATCGCTTGCGGGCGAGGCTCTGGAATTGACACATTATAAATACGAACCCCAACTCAATTAATTTTATGATTCAAATCTAGCGCCTCGCCCGCAAGCGACCTCGGCGAAGTGAAGATAAACGATTTCTCATACAAGTACTTATTCAGTATCTAATATCGCCGAGGTCGCTTGCGGGCGAGGCGCTAGGATTGACACATTATAAATACAAACCTCAACTCAATTAATTTTATGACTCAAATCTAGCGCCTCGCCCGCAAGCGACCTCGGCGAAGTGAAAATAAACGATTTCTCATACAAGTACTTATTCAGTATCTAATACCGCCGAGGTCGCTTGCGGGTGAGGCGCTAGGATTGACACATTATAAATACAAACCTCAACTCAATTAATTTTATGACTCAAATCTAGCGCCTCGCCCGCAAGCGACCTCGGCGAAGTGAAAATAAACGATTTCTCATACAAGTACTTATTCAGTATCTAATACCGCCGAGGTCGCTTGCGGGCGAGGCGCTAGGATTGACACATTATAAATACGAACCTCAACTCAATTAATTTTATGACTCAAATCTAGCGCCTCGCCCGCAAGCGACCTCGGCGAAGTGAAGATAAACGGTTCTCATACAAGTATTGAGTACTTAGTTTACTTTCCAAGACATCAGGTTCACGATTTTATCAATACCGCCGAGGTCGCTTGCGGGCGAGGCGGTGGAACTGGTATCTTAGCTCCTTAATACAAAATTTCTTTGAATTAAGGTTTGTGTTCATAAAGTATCAGACCCAGCGCCTCGCCCGCAAGCGACCTCGGCGAAGTGAAGATAAACGATTTCTCATACAAGTACTTATTCAGTATCTACTACCGCCGAGATCGCTTGCGGGCGAAGCTCTGGAATTGACACATTATAAATACGAACCTCAACTGAATTAATTTTATGACTCAAATCTAGCGCCTCGCCCGCAAGCGACCTCGGCGAAGTGAAGATAAACGATTTCTTATACAAGTACCTATTGTGTATCTAACACCGCCGAGCTCGTTTGCGGGCGAAGCGGTGGAACTGTTATCATAGCTTCTAAATGCCAAATTTCATTGAATTAAGGTTTGTGTTTATAAAGTATCAGACCCAGCTCCTCGCCTGCAAGCGACCTCGGCGAAGTGAAAATAAACGATTTTTTATATAATTACTAGTAATCGGCCGATATAAATATCGATGCATCGGTATCGTATCGGCAAATTTTGCAGATAATCGGTATCGGCAAAATATTGCCGATAAATATCGGTATATTTAAGATTAACTGTTTTATACAGGTGTATCTAAATTGATGCGAAATATTTTAAGGGATGATTTTTCAACGAAAATTAAGGGTCTTTCATATAACTTTTTGGTCAAAACCACTTCTTCTTCAAGTTACAGCCCTCTAAAATTAGGGGGAAAATTTGTTTTTCTTTAATACATCCACTATGGAGGAATTTCGAAGGATGAAATTTGGCGGATAACTATTACTAATAAAATGACACTTTTTGACGATTTTTATAATCCTAATGTTATTACAAGGGGGCGAGAAAATCCACCCCTACAATATTTTGCATCAGAACTTTTTAATGCGTCTACATTTTTCTATTTAAAAACTTGATTTAAATAGTGGGATTCAATACACAACTTTTTTGTCTCTTAACATTTTCTCCTGCAATCGTTAGTTTGTTCATAAAAAAATAAAATTATACACAAGCTCAAGTGAATTAATTCAGATTGATTATCATTAAATGATTCAAAAAAATGAAGTTATGTCAAATTGATCTCAGCATTATTTTATTTTTGGTGATCAAACTAACAATTTGTTAGTTGTAAAATGTCAAGAGATAAGAAAGGTGCAGATTTCTTCCCCTAATTTTAGAGGGCTGTAATTTAGAGGAGAAGTGTTTTTGATCAAAAAGTTATATGAACGATCTTTCGCATCAATTTAGATACATCCTGTATATTTGAAAGTAGAAACCCATTCAAAATTTTTTTTTATAATAAAACAACTATAAATTATTGCTTTTTAATTTTTATTAATTGTTGGTCAATGAAAAAAACACGTTTTTAACCAAACTAAACAACACGTAGAGGTTACCTTTTACTGGCATTAAAGCCATTATATGAAGTAAAATTAACAAATTAAAATATCTATTGGGACTCGATTCTTGGAATCGAAGTTTCAATTTAACAGATAATTTTTACTTTTATTAGTGTATATTAAATATGGAATAATTATAGATCTTTTAAAAATGTGGTGCCGATACCGATATTATATCGATATCAAATTAATGTAATCAGTACCGGTTTCGGCTAATAGACCATCATCAGCTGAATTATCAAAAATGAACAAAAAATTCTTGCCCCCACGTCGCTCTTTCGTTGCTCTATTCTAGCCTTCGTAAACGGTGAAGTGGTGCAAGAGGAAGACATAAAAATTATACGGCGATAAAAGGATGTCATTAACATTCTGGGTCCTACACCTCTCATCCGATCATTTGCAATCAATTGAGTTGTTGAAAATCTGTCTCTTGTAGCCAAAAGTCTTAAGTGACGTTCTTCGCGATCTGATCGTCCAGATCCAGGGCGACGTTATTGCACCAATTCCTCGGACCATGTGGACCAACATCTCAAAACCGTTGTAACATTTCGGTTTACACGACGAGCAATTTCACTTAGCGAAAGTCCAAATGCCAATACTACGGCCTCTTGGCATTGTTCCGCAGTTCAGAACGAAATTGTGAACAATAATTACTAAGTGCAAAGGAAAAAACAAAAAAGAACCAAACTACTAGCTAGATTTGATTCAAATTTTAATCGTTCAACAAATTTTATTCGTGTTGCAATTTTTATGGAAGTCAGTGTATATTGATTTGATTTATTAAAAATACCTCTTTCAAGGTTTTATTTCATAACATTTCATTAAATTTTTTTTTGTATGGTGATTCAAAGTGTTATCAGACATTCACGTTTAAATTTTAAGTTGCTAAGAGCACGTGAATTTTGTTTCAAAATATGATTTAATCATTGATGACGCATCGCAAGTCGGTTTTAAATAAAAAAAAGTATGTTTCTGTTTATAGCCTGTAAAAAAGAAGAAAATCAAACGTGAAATAAAGATATTAGAAAACCTTAGGGGCGGTACAAATATAATATCATTACAAGCGGTGGTAAAAGATCCGGTTTCGCGAACTCCAGCGCTAATATTCGAGCACGTCAACAATACGGACTTCAAGCAGCTTTACCAGACGCTGACCGATTACGATATTCGTTACTATTTGTACGAATTGCTCAAGGCGCTTGACTATTGCCATAGCATGGGCATTATGCATAGGGACGTCAAGCCCCATAACGTAATGATTGATCATGAAAATAGGAAATTGCGACTAATCGATTGGGGATTGGCCGAGTTTTATCACCCCGGCCAAGAATACAATGTGCGCGTCGCCTCTAGGTATTTTAAAGGTCCCGAACTGCTCGTCGATTACCAGATGTACGACTACTCGCTGGACATGTGGTCGCTGGGATGCATGCTGGCTTCTATGATCTTTAGGAAGGAACCATTCTTTCATGGTCACGATAATTACGATCAGCTTGTCCGTATTGCTAAAGTTTTAGGAACCGAAGAGCTATTCGAATATTTGGATAAATATCATATAGAATTAGATCCTAGATTCAATGATATTCTAGGAAGGTAAGATACAATTTTAAAATTTTTATCTCACTTTTATATTATAATCTTTCTCAAACTTTCAAGATTTTTTTAAACTCAGAGTGTTCCTGTAAGTTGTGGCATTTTAATCACAAATACTAGACTGAAAATGATAACTATTCATATAAAAATGTTTGGCTGGAAGGCTAGAATAGCTTAAAAAAATATATAATGAAGGAAAAAGTAGGTGTTTTAGTTCTCAGAACAGAATTTTAAATGCTAATTTAGTTTCTAGTAAAAGGAAGAACCATTTTTATAAAAATTCCATCTCCACTTCACTATGCTGCTCACCAATTATATCTTCTTTATATATTATTTCTCTTAATTATATCCTCTTCCATTGAATCCATTGCCTCAGGACTCAACTCCTTCAATGAGACTTTCTGGAACGTTCTAAGACCTGTAATAACAGGATCCATGTTAGCATGTGAACTAAGTCTTCATAGGTTTTTGTATATGAGGACTTTCTAGTGTGCTGGGCTCTGAATCGCCTCATATCCTTATTCCTTGCTTCTTGTGCTTTTTCTGAAAGCTGCCCTATTCGAACAAGGGCATGTTTGATGGCTAAAGAGCCCTGTAAAAGGATTTTATGTAGGCTGGGAGGCATCTTGTACCAACTATATAGCTATAAGAATAGTTTCAAATGTATTAATCGCTTATCAGCTCCTGTAGCTGCAGAGATTTGACCTCAAAAACTCCCCGGATATCAAGCTTTTCGTAAATTTTCCTTTTTCTTGCAATTTTACTTCTCTATATTGTATCCGCCATCTTGATTTTTGAAAAGTTTATAATTCTGACCCCAGATTTGTAATTAGCACCCCAAAGGATCCCACCAATATCAAGTTTTATAAAAAAAATCAAGAGAATATGCAAAAGTGTTATCTAAATAAAAGTGTTATTTAAATATCCACGAAGCGAAATCACACTCTATTATACAGGTGTTTCGGTGACTCGGGGAATAAATTTAACCAGAAATACTAGAGTGAATATGATAACGATTCATATAAAAAAAATTACATTATTTTCAAAGTTAGGAAATTTTAACACATTTTTCTAAATATCTTAAACATTATTTATAGTAAAGCGCTGAAATTTGGTGCAATATAAATCAATGTCACGTAAAACCGTTAGGCAATTTTTGAGTTGGATCGATCCGCGGGAACAATGCTATACAGCTGGTCCTAAAATTTGTTTGCTCAGAACTTTTTTTATTCTACCATAACCCTACATTTATTTTTGTGGTTTCTAATAGTAAATTTAGTTTAGAAACTTTTATCACTCTTAGAGAATATTGATAAAAACCACCGATTTCGTATTAAATGCAAAAATGTTAGGCTCCGAATTTAATAACCTAAAAAAATTTTTAATATAATCTGAATTGGCAATGAAAATGACAAGTGAAAATCGAACTGAGCCGTCATAACTATTATGTATGTAACATTTCCAAGTGTAGATTTAGCTAAATCCATTTTTAATTAGTTTTAGTTAATTTAATAAAAGAATCTTAAAACAATAAATTAAAAATCAACAAAAAATAAAACTACAACAGTAACAGGAATAATAAAAAAAGTATATAAAATAACAAGACAAGTAATAAAAAATACTATAAATTTTTTTAGTGCTATTAGTATAATCAGAACCCAACGTTTTTACATTTAACACGAAAACGGCGATTTTTATCAATATTATCTAAGAGTGATAAAAGTTTCTAAACTAAATTTACTATTAGAAACTGCATAAATAAATGTAGGGTTATGATAGAATAAAAAAGTTCTGAGCAAACAAATTTTAGGAACACCTGTATAGCGTTGTTGTGACTTTTACTAATTTTTCTTTACATGAATCATCACCATTTTCACTCTAATATATGTGGTTAAATTTATTCCCCGAGTCACCAAAACACCCTGAATAGGCCATCAAAGTTAAGAAATTTTCTGAAATATTTTCAATATAGTTTGTCTTAAAAATATAATATTTGGCAAACAGTGCAATGTTATCATGAGAAATCGTTTAAGATCACTTTTGAAAGTATGCAAACACGGGATCAATACTATACAGGTGTCCACATAGGTTATTTCCTTAAAACTTTTTTATTATGTCGTAAACCATTAAATTTTCAAACTGATTCTAAGCGCCTATTTCATTTTAAAATTATTTTTACTCTTACAAATTTTTGATTAGACGCATCGTTTTCGAGTTATTCATAAAAAGATTTAAATTAATGGTTGTAGGACATGCCAAGACTTACCTTTGGATATTCCAAAATGTTTTCTTCTAATTGGGGTGTACGTACTGACCTCTGATGCCCGTTATTTACATACTGCTGTTTTAAATTTCCTTAAATAAAAAATATATTGCATTGATAAAAATATTTGAAAATTTCTTAACTTTGAAGGCCCATATCATAGCCATTTGTGGGTTAATGATTAAAATTATGCCACAACTTACAGAAACACCCTGTATGTGGACATCATGGATTTGTTGAATCAGCTTGTTGTCATTAACAAATGTTTAATGGATGCTTAATACATCCCAACCTAAGTATTAATACTATATTCAGCCAAAACCTGGTCAACACTTACCACATAATTCTACATTTTTCACTTTGAGGTCATCTGGACGCTGTTATCAGCCTAGTTATCAATAACAAAATATGTATTATGTAATATTCCACAGTTTCATCATCTCCTAACACTTGGGGTTAATACAGAGTAATATATTTTTTATTTTGTGCCCACCCGACACTGTCATGAACAATGTAATATTTTAGTAATTTAGTGGTAAATGATTAATTTTTATATTTAAATTTAAAGGCATTCCCGAAAACGATGGGAGAGATTTGTGCACAGCGAAAATCAACACTTAGTCTCACCGGAAGCGTTAGATTTCCTTGATAAGCTATTGCGCTACGACCACCTGGAACGTTTAACTGCCCGCGACGCTATGGATCATTCTTACTTCTGTAAGTTGAAGAAACCTCAGAGTCCCTAATTTAGTTTAGTTTACTTACTACTGAACTGTAACCAGAATTTTGTTATTTTATATGATTTAATACAACTTTTGTTCGCTGCAAAAAAAAAGACCGGCATTTTTTTTTATTTTAATCGTTCGTTCTCAATACTAACTGCGTTCTCATTCGCTATAAAATAACCGTGGCCGCCGTTTTGTCATTGTCACCGTTCTTAATCAATTTCTGCTGAATCATTTGCTAAATTGGGAATAATTTTATATATGCGAAAAAAATAAGAAAAAATCTTTCTGTAATTAACACCATTTTTTGTAAATATGTAGGGTGATTTATGATGAGAGTACTGTTTATGATAACTAGAAAATTGATGAAAAAAATTGTAAATCACCCTAAATATTTTGTTTACATTTTGGGTTGGATTTTTTTTTAAATTTAATATTATTTATGTTCGCTTATTTACTATCTATCTTTATCTCAAGAAAAAAAACAGTGATATTGTCGATAAAAAAAATTACACCATTAATGTTGTAAATTAGCTTCTCTAGCTTAGATTTAGCGTTTGTTGTATTATTTTTGTTCTGTATGCGATCATTTTGTGTTTATCATATTTCATTTGGAGAATGTCTTTTTATTTTCATTTCTTTATTTCGATAAAAATCGTTTTTTTTTATCTTGGAAAATCATCCGATTTTGTTTATTGACCAAAACTAAACTAAAAACAAAAATAAAATTCTGGGAGTGTTCCTGACGAATTATTGTTGAAATTTCAGATCCAGTACTAAAGGATCATAGTAGGATGAACACAGTAACATCGTCCCCTACTCCACTTACAGGCAATATGTCTGTTGTAGGAGTAGGTGAGTAGCTACCAGGTAAAAAAAATATTTCTCATATACCGTTGCATCTGGTTTTTTCCGAAGCTGTTCTGGCATATCTTTATTATATATTATTATAATTTTCACAAAAATACTTAGTTTAATTGACATCGTATGTTTTTGTTGAGATCGATCCTCCGACCTTTCTTTATCCTTGTTCACACTTATCCGACTCATAGGTTTTTTTTGCCTCATCTTCAGGCCAATTAAGTCATTCCAATTGTGTACATAACGTGCGGGGTGATTCAAAAAAAAAATAGTTTAATTTTGTTCAGTATTTATTTTTGATCCACGACAAAAATGATTTGAAATGTTTGAATTAGAGGCCAAAATTCCTTAGTTTTTGTTTTGCAATTGCAATGTTTGGTGTTGAAATAATTTACAATAAAAGAGGATTTTTACGCGGAAAAAAACTGTATCTTTTTTTTCTTTTGTACATGTTTATAAATAATATTGTTAATAAATAACATAATGTGTATTTTTTTAAGTATACCATTTCATAAACGATTTAAAAAATTATATAAAAGTTTCAATAAGATTTCATACAAAAACATTCATGTATTCCCCGAAAACAAAAACGCTTTAAATAAACTACTGTATATAAAACGATGTTTTTTATCTGTTATATTATGAATTGATCGATATTATACTCCAAGGGGTTACCGTATTTTTGAAAATTATAACGATTTATTTAAATTAAAAAATGTATTAACTAAAATAATAAACTGTATGAGGTGCGTTCAATTTTCGTATCGATAACTTGTATGGTTTTTAAAGCAACGCAACCTTTTTGATAATTATAAAAAAAGTAAAAAAAATATGGCAATATTATTAAAATTAACTAGTTCAATTTATTTGTACTGTTTTCTGAACATAAAACCCACGACTTTTAGGTCGCCGTTTTATTTTTTTTAATAAGTTATTTGTTCTACTATAATTCGCATATTATTAGAAATTTAAAAATCATTTACCGTTCATTTTCTTCTTTTTGTAACTAGACCATTGTAAATACTATTTAAATACAAATATAAGCTATTGTAACAGTTTGTAACATATGTTTTATTTTTATTTCTATTTTTTTAATAAAAAAAATCGGTTCAGCAAAACAGTAAAAATAAACTCGATTTTTTTTTGAACCAAAATTAAACAACTCCTTTTTGTTAGCACCAATTTGATCGGTAATAAATATCAAACATTGTTAGTTGTTTGTTGCATGTCATCAAGCATCGTCATAATTTTTTTGTTTTTGGGAGACTTTGTTTAATCCAAATTTGCAGATGATGCGGCATCCCCACTCGGATCGCCGTCGGACGTTCAGGACTCCCCGAATCTACTGGGTCTGCGAAAAACGTCGGCATTTTTCATAAATCTAGACTCTTCGACTACACCGACCCCCACATAAAAAGAAAAAAATTAATAAATCCGGATTTAAAAAATTAGAGAAATAAATCAAGAATAAAATCAGAATACCTAATTATATATTAACTGGAGAATCCAATTAATATATAATAAACTCAAACTCTCGTTAAAACAAACTTATTATAACAATTTCCCTTCTCCCACGTTTTCAAAAGATATAATAAAAAAACTTTGTCACGACAAGGAACCGAATAACAAAATGTAACAACATTCCTGTTTTCTCTTTGGGTGTTAACGAATTTTTCAGGAAAAAAATTCGAAAATATTGCTGAATATATGTATTAGGCGAAGTTTTGTAGCAACGTTAAAAAAATAAATAAATGATTTAATAACACCTAATTTTTAATTATTTTAATTAATACTTTTTTAATGACACGTTAAATTAATATACACAGCGTTGCTATCAAATAATCGCTTAAAAGAAATAAGAATATCCTAATTTCTACAACTTTCAGTAGCTGTACATGTATAATATATATGCGGTATTGTTAAAAATGTACGGTTTGCCTTTTGTAGAGTGCGTTCGTTAAAGTAAATCCAAAAAAAAAAATTGAAGAAGCTGTGTCATGATCATTTTGGTTCTTTTGTAAGACGATAACACTATGTAACAAAAAAAATTGATAAAACATTGTAAAGTAATACAATGGGATTCGTTACTCATCTGTGATTAAAAAAAATAAATAGCGTCACTCCACACATCCTCAGTTTTTTCTAACTATTATATGTAATGGCAATATTATAGTTTATGATTTCTCGAAGCCCGGCGGCATAGTCATTGAAAAAAATGTATAGACAGTTGGTTTTTACATATTTTATACTAACGTTTTTAATAAGCGATGAGTGATATGACAAGTTATTCTAAAAATCACCTATATATACATAAAAAATATATAAATATAGTTTCGAAAAAAACAACTTCAAGGAAAATCTAACCCTGTTCGAAGCGACGGATTTCCAACGGACACTTTCTATGTAAATATATTTCCTCATGTAATAAAAAACAACAAAAATAGTGGAATATATGTATAAATGAATTAACCTTTTTTTATTTTTTAAAACAATACTAACATTTTTTAAGAAGGTAAGTAATAGCTCTATTTCATATGGTGCACGACGGTGACACCCAAAAAGCAGTTTCAAATTTATAGTAACTCACAACGATCATGCAACACAAAATATGAAAACGATAAATTCAAATGTACATATTTTTATTTTATTTGTACCATATATGGTAATTTCAAATTTACCTAAAACGAAATAAATCATAAACGTTGGCAGTTTTAAAACAAATCGATATCGCGTAATTAACCCAATAGGGCGTTTCCAAAGCAACGCGTAAACTCGCATTGTTCTGGTGTTCCGCCCAAATACGATCGTTCTAATAAAGGTAATGCTCTTTATTGAAATGATTACGGGGGTTCATTTGCGTGTGAAAACTTGCGTGATTGTTCCACATGCAAATTTACAAACCCCTTTCGAAATCACGACATTAATTAACACCTTTACTAAAATTTTTTATGCAATCAATATTAAAATAAATGAAAAATTTTAAGAAATGATTTTTTTTAGATGTCAAAACCAAACGAACCGAATGTGAGCACGCGCGGAAGGACGCTGATTTTGAAAAGCATTTCGTTATTTCTCTCCGGTCGTAATGCTAGATCAAACTCGCAACAACCCAAGCCGGTTAAAACCAAGAAAATGAATGATAAAGATAGCAAAAATAAAATTTCACCTAAACTTCTCGAAATTGCTAAAAAAGAAACTCATTTTACCAGGTAATATAATTTAATTGAAAAAAATTTTTTTGATTTTAATTTTTTAAGATTGGAGATTGAAAATCTTTATAAAGTCTATCGAAGATTAATTTCAATGAATCGGCCGAAAACTCATCAAGACAAAAACGTCGCTGCAACATCTTCAATTGGAAAAACTACATCTGAAGTAAAAAAATTTTTTAAAAATATTATTAAATAATAAAATTTTATTTCAAGGGAATCGACCGAGTGATTTTTCGCGAACTCTTACACAGCTCATTCGACATAGTAACCGAAGATATGATGATGGACCGCATCTTTTGCGTTTGGGATAAAACCAATTCAGGTTTAATAACACCAGAATCCTGGTTTTTGGGGTTAAATATATTCCTTCGTGGCACTCTCGCCGAACAAACCGATTTTTGCTTCTTCGTTTACGACTTAAACGCCGACGGATTTATTACTAAGGACGAAATGTTTCAATTATTAAAGTAAATATACTTTATATATACAGCCTGATTCAGAGTATGGGTACTACTTTCAAAATATTTGGCAGTAATATGTTTTAGGACATTCTCTACACGATGGTGATATCACATTTTGAATTGGACGAATTATTTCAAAATGGCGACTGTCAACTTTTTTTTTTTAAAATTTTTTTTCTTTCCCCATCAAAAAGCACACATTTTAATTTAGTAGCGCATGAATGTTTTACACTCGATGTTATTTTTGTCCAAATATCAAGTAGCGCTAGACACAAAAGAAACAATTAAACTTTATTTTGTAATACACATCTACTTATTTATTTATTTGGACAAAAATAACATCGAGTGTAAAACATTTATGCGCTACTAGATTAAAATGTTAGGTTGCTTTTTGATGGGGAAAGAAATGAATTTTTAAGAAAAACAAAATACTATCGTAAAAAGAATGTTTTTAGGATCTCAATAATAAAAAAAAATTTTGGCATCCATTTAAAAAAGAAAGTTGACAGTCGCCATTTTGAAATAATTCGTCCAATTGAAAATATAATATCACCATCGTGTAGAGAATGTCCTAAAACATATTATTGCTAAATATTTTGAAAGTAGTACCCATAGTGTGGCTAAAAAAAATAAGGCGCTTACTCTGAATCAGGCTGTATACTTAAAGTAATATATAGTAAAGGCAAAAAAATCCTTATAAGGATTTGGACAAAGAGGGCAAGAGAAATAGTTGGTAATTATTTTGAAGTTCGTAATTCGACCGCTAGGGTCAACAAAAAATTCCCGCTATCTCAAAAAGTTAAACGATGAGCTATAACTTTGACAACCATAAAATTTACTAAATAGTAGTGAAAACCGCATCTCGATATCTCCATTCATTTTCGAATTATACAGGTCCATTTAACGTGAGACAAGCGATTATCTCGAAAATGGTTCATTTTTATGTAAAATGAAAGTTGTTCTGTACGAAGGGGGAAACATTTTTTGACCTTGACCTTGTTTTCAAGGTCATATGAAGGTCACGACCAATTTTTTTAAATGGCACCCTATATATTTTATTGTAAAATCTGAATCTGTGGATAAAAGTAAAGTAATAAAAACAAAATTATGTGAATGTTTTTGGTTTGAAGCCAAATTGGTGATCAGGAATCCCATAACTTCTTTTAATTAAATTTCTACCTTTCTTCGGTATGCAAATTACAATACCCGTTTTGCATTCGTGTGGAAAGAGATGATTAGAAATATAAAAGTTATACATCTTAATAATAAATTCATGAACCTTTCCATCCAACTGTCTCAACATCTTCTTATTGATATTATCATAACCAGAGGCGGCGCTACCGGCACTTTCAAAATATAAATTTGAAATACATTGAAAAGAATTATTTACGCCCTAAAAAAAGAAAAAACACTTAAATACAATTTAGAGTACTAATTATTGTTTACATTCGAAAAATACAAATTTTAAATAAATTGTATTTTCACACAAAGTAATGGTATTTATGTTTTTAAATATTATGCTTTTGTAATTTCCGTTAATGCGGACCTGAACAACTCACGCCGAAGTTTGTGGTTCGTCAACTACCTGTTTACAACCCCGCCTTTGTTCGTTATATGACTGCAATTAAGTCATAAAAACCACCAGAAAAATCGGAGACTATATTTAGTCTTCTAAAACCAGTATCTAGTCTTCTGCCAAAGTTATGTATGTTTTCTCCAAAATATTTTATCTTTCTTTTGCAGTATTTAAACCTGTTAGCAGTATCTAGTCTTCAGAGAGCAGTATTTAGTCTCCACAAAGCAATTTTAGTCTTTAGAAAGCAGTATTTAGTGTTCCAGACGCTGTATTTAGACCTGTCGGAAGTATCTAGTCTTCAGAAAGCAGTATTTAGTCTTCTAGAAGCAGTATCTAGTCTTCTGCCAAAGTTATGTATGTTTTCTCCAAAATATTTTATCTTTCTTTTGCAGTATTTAGACCTGTTAGCAGTATCTAGTCTTCAGAAAGCAGTATTTAGTCTCCACAAAGCAATTTTAGTCTTTAGAAAGCAGTATTTAGTGTTCCAGACGCTGTATTTAGACTTGTCGGAAGTATCTAGTCTTCAGAAAGCAGTATTTAGCCTTCTAGACACAGTATCTAGTCTTCTGCCAAAGTTATGTATGTCTTCTCCAAAATATTTTATCTTTCTTTTGCAGTATTTAGACCTGTCAGCAGTAGCTAGTCTTCAGAAAGCAGTATTTAGTCTCCACAAAGCAATTTTAGTCTTTAGAAACCAGTATTTAGTCTTCTAGAAGCAGTATCTAGTCTTCTGCCAAAGTTATGTATGTTTTCTCCAAAACATTTTATCTTTTGCAATATTTAGACCTGTTAGCAGTATCTAGTCTTCAGAAAGCAGTATTTAGTCTCCACAAAGCAATTTTAGTCTTTAGAAAGCAGTATTTAGTGTTCCAGACGCTGTATTTAGACCTGTCGGCAGTATCTAGTCTTCAGAAAGCAGTATTTAGTCTCCACAAAGCAATTTTAGTCTTTAGAAAGCAGTATTATGTGTTCCAGACGCTGTATTTAGACCTGTCGGAAGTATCTAGTCTTCAGAAAGCAGTATTTAGCCTTCTAAAAGCAGTATCTAGTCTTCTGCCAAAGTTATGTATGTTTTCTCCAAAATATTTTATCTTTCATTTGCAGTATTTAGACCTTTTGGCAGTATCTAGTCTTCAGAAAGCAGTATTTAGTCTCCACAAAGCAATTTTAGTCTTTAGAAAGCAGTATTTAGTGTTCCAGACGCTGTATTTAGACCTGTCGGAAGTATCTAGTCTTCAGAAAGCAGTATTTAGTCTTCTAGAAGCAGTATCTAGTCTTCTGCCAAAGTTATGTATGTTTTCTTCAAAATATTTTATCTTTCATTTGCAGTATTTAGACCTGTTGGCAGTATCTAGTCTTCAGAAAGCAGTATTTAGTCTCCACAAAGCAATTTTAGTCTTCAGAAAGCAATATTTAGTTTTTTAGAAGCAGTATCTAGTCTTCTGCCAACGTTATTTATGTTCTGTTCTTGATACTGACAGCAACTTCTTTCTGGGTGTCTATCATCATGTTTTTGGGAGCCTCTTATTATCTATACGGATCTTGTACCACCCGGTACCTCATTTCTCCAGCTGTTACTTTGCTTTTGTGCTTATCCTGCATTGGCATAGTTTCCGTATTGGTGATTTCCTGTCCTGTGCAATAACCAGACAAGTCCATTGGATTCTTGTTCATATTCTTCGCATTCTTTTATTGAACACATAAGTATTGCCATGAAAAATCATGTTTGGTTTATAATAAATTTTTGAACAGTAATTTCAGACTTGTGGACTTTGAACAATGTAATTCCTAATATGTATAGGGGTTGTCATCCATATTGGTGATAATGTTAAAATAAAAAAGAAAAACCAAAATAAATGGTCAAACTACTCCAATATATTTTCCAATATATTTTTTTATTTTTAGTTAATCTAATTAACTCGAGTTAATTAATAAAGGAAAATATATTGGAGTAGTTTGACCATTTATTTTGGTTTTTCTTTTTTAATGTAATTCCTGTTTTTTGCTGAAGTCTAGTTTATAACTATTGCAATTTCAGACTTTTTCTTGCAAATTAACCTTCTGACCAGAGTATTCCCGACTATTCCCTTAAGTTTGGTTTTTCACCAGTATAATTCTTAAATTTTTGCTGAAGTATGGATTATGACTATTCCAGTCTTTTGCGTTTTCCGGCGCTTCATTTGCTAGCGCCGGCACTGATCATAACCGGGTGCAGAGATTTTACCCTTTGATATTACTTCCAAGTATTTAGTTGGCTTCCACTGCATTATGTTGAAAACCATCATACCTCCACCTCTTGAAGTTTGTCATAGTCAAAGCCTGCATCAAAAAGTCAAAATATTTTTGTAAATATTCAGCATGTATTCGGGCTATGTCTTCTTCTGAAGTTTGAAGAGTATTGGAAATGACTTCTGTTGTAATTAGATAGCTTTTTAATTTGTTCTGTTTTGTCATATTTTCGCTGGTTATTGGTTTTTCTTGATTATCCACTTATGATAAAAGATTTGATCATAATACCGGTTATAAATAATACCGATCATAATCGGTATCTGTAAAATAATGTATTGGAGAAAACAATCTTAAAAACACTTCTAGAGAAAAATGTCATATTCGGCATCATATTCGAAACATTGAAAATAAATCATCATACGCTTCTGAGTTAGTAAATGACATGTTTACAGTTACCATGCTCCGCAAATATTATGAATTTATCTTCACGCGTTCAAATTATATAGGGTGTGCCCGTGAATTATTTCCAACAGTGTAGTTTCGCAGAAAATCGCGGATTATTCAAAAACAACCTGGTGGATTTCAACGCGGTTTTTACCAAAATATGTCAAATAATGTCAGTTGTCGGATTCCGTTATTAATTTTTTAATATTAGTGCTCCCTAATTTTTTAAGATCGATTTAATGGAATTACAAATTAAAGAGAAACAAAAATAAGCTATGCGGGGTGAGGAACGGGATGGTGCGTTCCAGACAGTACGTCGCGCCTTTATCTTACCTACATAAAGAAATGAGGCGCGACGTCCAAATAATTTCTAACTATTTCTCTTAACCACTTTGCTTATAAAGGATTTTTTTAATTAATTAATTTTTTTTTTAATATTTTTTTGTTGATTATAGAAATTGTTTGATAAAACAACCACAAGATGAAGACCCCGATGAAGGTGTTAAAGATTTAGTTGAAATTATATTAAGAAAATTGGATAAAGATAAAGACGGAAAAGTTTCTTTGGACGATTATAGAACTTCGGTGAAAGAAGAACCGCTCCTTTTAGAAGCTTTTGGTAGATGTTTACCGAATGAAAGAGCCACCGATACTTTTATAACAACAATGAAAATGTAAATAAAAAAAATTTGTTAATTTATTACGCAAGAATTTAAAAAACTTAAAAAAAATAGTAGATTAATAATAAATTATCCTGATAAAGACCCAAGTTATGTTATGAGTTTAATATCACGCAAGTGCGAACAGTTTTGCGGTTGACGAGTGTGTTAAATAGAACCTACTCAGTTTGTCACTGGGCACTTCAAAGTCGCAGCACTTCGATGACTGTCTAGTTTAAATCCTGTCGCATTTAAAAAAATATATAATAATCTTGCCAATTTAATTTAATAAAACTAAAGTAAAAAAATGCCTACAAATAATCAAAACCAAAAGTGAGTAGTTATTTTTATTTAGTAATTAAGCTGTTGGCCTTGAGAGCTTATAAATTTTTTTTAAGTAATCAAAATGGTCCAACTGCAATGCAAACGTTACAAGTTTTTCTCGAATTTTTCTGGGTGTTGATCCAATTGACTTATTTTAATATCGAAGCGATTGTGAGATGGTTTGTTCCACCACCGAAAAAATCAGTTAACGGTGAAATTGTTTTGGTAAGAAAATACATCTTTTCTTAGTTCTATGACTTGCTCCTTTTCGTTCATCTCGGTGTCAGATCGTATCTCTCGACGGTTCAACTCTCGTTGTTAAGATAAGATTATTTTTATTTCTCTCGTTTTGTATTTTTTTTTCTTTCCTGATAACAAAATTTACTAAGTCATTTCGATGAGACCTCATAAGAAAATTAAATTAGTAACCACGTTTTGTTATCAAACAACCTTCATCGTTTGTTTCGTTTTTGGTTGCACGAATAGCACTTCCTACTTCGATTACACGTGCTATAATTACCACTGGAATTATTTTCTAAATATGTTGTATCCATTAAATAGTAATTAACATTTTTTTTTTAATTTACTCAAATGAATCACTTTTTATCAATTATTTAGGTCAACAATTTTTGGTATCTTAAATATTTACAGAAAAAAAGTTGTGTTATCAAACAAAAGTATTTTTTGTTACATACATGTAGATTATTTTATCATTTTGTATATATAAATAGGTAACTGGCGCTGGTCATGGTATAGGAAAAGAATTTGCGATGCAATACGCCGCATTAGGTGCAACCGTCATCGCTTGGGACGTAAATGAACAAAACAACTTGAAAACTGTTAAAGAAATCAATCGGTTGGGTTACCCAAAAGCCTATAGCTACGTATGCGATGTTTCTAATCGCGAAAAAGTTTTTGAGACCGTCGAAAAGGTTCGAAAAGATGTTGGGGACATCACAATTATTGTCAACAATGCTGGAATTATGCCCACGCACTCTTTACTTGAGCACACTCAAAAAGAAATTGAAGCTATTTTTGATATAAATGTTTTAGGACATTTTTGGGTATACAATTTTTTTGATTTTTTAATTGGCAACCAAACGTGATATAAAACACTAATATTAGTCACAAAGCTGGAAGGTTAAATCCCTCATTATTGAATTAATTTCACGTTTGATTGCTGAAAATAGCAAAAACACTTAGTTTTAATGTTTTAATAACATTAATTTTTTTTTTAATAAAAATAGATAATTCAAGCAATTATGCCAAGTATGTTAAAAAGGAATCATGGTCACATTGTATCGATATCATCGTGTGCTGGATTGAGTGGTTTAGAAAATTTAGTACCATATTGTGCTAGTAAATTCGCAGTTCGAGGTTATATGGAAGCGTTGCGAATGGAGCTGGAATTAATCCCGAATTGCCAGGTCAAATTGACGACGATTTATCCGTATATGGTCGATACAGGATTGTGTAAAAAGCCGATAATTCGATTTGCAGAAGCTATGACGATGCTGACGCCTTACGAAGTAGCCGCAACAGCTATAGACGGTCAAATGAGAGGTGTGCGTCACGTTTCTGTACCCAGATTGTATTGGTACATGAACAATTATTTTAGGTAATAAAAAAAAATTTGCGATGATTACAGTAATTTTCTGCTCGTGTATACTTTTTTATTTAGTTTGTAAAAATAATTTTAATTACTTTATTTTTTTTAGAATGAATGCCGAGAAAGGTATGAAAGCCATGAAGGAATTTTTAGGGGTCAGCTTAGGATCGGATTTATCCTAAATTAATACTTTTTATACCATAAAAATAAAGTAATAATAAAAAATCAGACAAAACTACGAATTTTTTGCATAACATGTTTGCTGTTACCTCAAACTGAATGAATTGATCGTTAAATCAAAATTGCTCCTCATAAAAGTCATTTAATAATATTGTTAATGATTTACTCGTTATTTTAAACGATTGTAAGTGTTACTATATTTAGAATATCAACAATATCGAAAGGTCAAATATTAAACAAACAGATATTGACCTAAAATATCATTTATTAAATATATCATAAACGTTTAGCGCCATCTTTGAGGAGTTTAATAAAAGAAAAAAGGAATCTACATCAAAATTTTATTGTAAGATGATTATGGCATAAAATAAGAAGGAAATATTAAAGTTGTGTGCGTGAGAAGAAAAGAGGAATATGTTGCCATAGTTACCGCGCAAGTTGGTTTTATAGTTAGCTTCATCTAAAACATCGTTTAAAACCTAACCTTAAATATAAGAATTATATTAAAAGTATTGTTTTAGTTTAAATAATTATTGAAATGGGTAAAAATTCAGGACCACCATCTATTTATCAACCCAGATTTTTACAGGTATCTTGATAATATAATTAATATTAAAAAATTATTGGAAAATTTTAGGGATCTGAATGTATGTATTGTAATGGTTTTTATGGATCATGTTTTGATGAGCATGTATGCCAAACATGTCACGCATTTCTTTATCCAGTTATTGCGCCAGATATCCCAAAAGCAACAAATCTTTCAGAAGTAAGATTTTTCATCTTTTTATTGGTATTATTAATTAAGTATTTTATTTAGGAAGATGACAGTGATTCAGGAAATGATGAACCTGCTGATAACAACTACCAACCTCCCTTAGAACAGGAACAAGCTGTTAATAATAATGGCACAGAAGAACCACTCAATGTTAAATTAAGAACATTAACCGAACAGTTAACAAAACTTGGTGACAGAATTAATCAACCAATTGCAATTAATATTGATCAATTACCACCTGAAGGTAAATCAAATGTATTTTTGAAATAACAAGCTGTAAAGTATTTGATATTAAATTAGTTTTAATCCATGCAATACAATTTTTGGATGATATATCACTTTGGAGTTTTGGCCAAGTAAACCAAAGATGGAGAAGTATAATGTTAATGTATGCAGATCAAAATTATTGGAAAAGACAAGTCCATACACATTGGCCACTCTTAAATTTAGGAGATAATCACANTTGTATCAAAATATTTTTCAAATAAAACTTGTTAAGAATTAAACAAGGAACAACGTTTGTAGGAACCATTTTTTAAAATTATTAATTTTTTAATTTCCCTGTGAATAGTATAGAAACGTAATTTAAGATTATCTTCCTAATTATTGGTTGTATCAAAATATTTTTCAAATAAAACTTGTTAAGAATTAAACAAGGAACAACGTTTGTTGGAATCATTTTTTAAAATTATTAATTTTTTAATTTCCCTGTGAATAGTATAGAAATGTAATTTAAGATTATCTTTCTAATTATTGTTTGTATCAAAATATTTTTCAAATAAAATTTGTTAAGAATTAAACAAGGAACAACTTTTGTAGGCACCATTTTTTAAAATTATTAATTTTTTAATTTTCCTGTGAACAGTATAGAAATGTAATTTAAGATTATTTTCCTAATTATTGGTTGTATCAAAATATTTTTCAAATAAAACTTGTTAAGAATTAAACAAGGAACAACGTTTGTTGGAACCATTTTTTAAAATTATTAATTTTTTAATTTCCCTGTGAATAGTATAGAAATGTAATTTAAGATTATCTTAGTAATTATTGGTTGTATCAAAATATTTTTCAAATAAAACTTGTTAAGAATTACACAAGGAACAACGTTTGTTGGAACCATTTTTTAAAATTATTAATTTTTTAATTTTCCTGTGAGCAGTATAGAAATGTAATTTAAGATTATCTTCCTAATTATTAGTTGTATCAAAATATTTTTTAAATAAAACTTGTTAAGAATTAAACAAGGAACAACGTTTGTTGGAACCATTTTTTAAAATTATTAATTTTTTAATTTTCCTGTGAGCAGTATAGAAATGTAATTTAAGATTATCTTCCTAATTATTGGTTGTATCAAAATATTTTTTAAATAAAACTTGTTAAGAATTAAACAAGGAACAACGTTTGTTGGAATTTTTTTTTAAAATTATTAATTTTTTAATTTCCCTGTGAACAGTATAGAAATGTAATTTAAGATTATCTTCCTGATTATTGCTTGTATCAAAATATTTTTCAAATAAAACTTGTTAAGAATTAAACAAGGAACAACTTTTGTAGGCATCATTTTTTAAAATTCTTAATTTTTTAATTTCCCTGTGAACAGTATAGAAATGTAATTTAAGATTATTTTTCTAATTATTGGTTGAATCAAAATATTTTTCAAATAAAACTTGTTAAGAATTAAACAAGGAACAACTTTTGTAGGCACCATTTTTTAAAATTATCAATTTTTTAATTTCCCTGTGAATAGTATAGAAATTAAATTCAAGATTATCTTCCTAATTATTGTTTGTATCAAAATATTTTTCAAATAAAACTTGTTAAGAATCAAAAAAGGAACAACTTTTGTTGGCACCATTTTTTAAAATTATCAATTTTTTAATTTCCCTGTGAACAGTATAGAAATTTAATTCAAGATTATCTTCCTAATTATTGTTTGTATCAAAATATTTTTCAAATAAAACTTGTTAAGAATTAAACAAGGAACAACGTTTGTTGGAACCATTTTTTAAAATTATTAATTTTTTAATTTCCCTGTGAACAGTATAGAAATGTAATTTAAGATTATCTTCCTAATTATTGGTTGTATCAAAATATTTTTCAAATAAAACTTGTTAAGAATTAAACAAGGAACAACGTTTATTGGCACAATTTTTTAAAATTATCAATTTTTTAATTTCCCTGTCAACAATATAGAAATGGAATTTAAGATTATCTTTCTAATTATTCTAATTATTATTAACTATGAAAGCCATGAAGGAATTTTTAGGGGTCAGCTTAGGATCGGATTTATCCTAAATTAATACTTTTTATACCATAAAAATAAAGTAATAATAAAAAATCAGACAAAACTACGAATTTTTTGCATAACATGTTTGCTGTTACCTCAAACTGAATGAATTGATCGTTAAATCAAAATTGCTCCTCATAAAAGTCATTTAATAATATTGTTAATGATTTACTCGTTATTTTAAACGATTGTAAGTGTTACTATATTTAGAATATCAACAATATCGAAAGGTCAAATATTAAACAAACAGATATTGACCTAAAATATCATTTATTAAATATATCATAAACGTTTAGCGCCATCTTTGAGGAGTTTAATAAAAGAAAAAAGGAATCTACATCAAAATTTTATTGTAAGATGATTATGGCATAAAATAAGAAGGAAATATTAAAGTTGTGTGCGTGAGAAGAAAAGAGGAATATGTTGCCATAGTTACCGCGCAAGTTGGTTTTATAGTTAGCTTCATCTAAAACATCGTTTAAAACCTAACCTTAAATATAAGAATTATATTAAAAGTATTGTTTTAGTTTAAATAATTATTGAAATGGGTAAAAATTCAGGACCACCATCTATTTATCAACCCAGATTTTTACAGGTATCTTGATAATATAATTAATATTAAAAAATTATTGGAAAATTTTAGGGATCTGAATGTATGTATTGTAATGGTTTTTATGGATCATGTTTTGATGAGCATGTATGCCAAACATGTCACGCATTTCTTTATCCAGTTATTGCGCCAGATATCCCAAAAGCAACAAATCTTTCAGAAGTAAGATTTTTCATCTTTTTATTGGTATTATTAATTAAGTATTTTATTTAGGAAGATGACAGTGATTCAGGAAATGATGAACCTGCTGATAACAACTACCAACCTCCCTTAGAACAGGAACAAGCTGTTAATAATAATGGCACAGAAGAACCACTCAATGTTAAATTAAGAACATTAACCGAACAGTTAACAAAACTTGGTGACAGAATTAATCAACCAATTGCAATTAATATTGATCAATTACCACCTGAAGGTAAATCAAATGTATTTTTGAAATAACAAGCTGTAAAGTATTTGATATTAAATTAGTTTTAATCCATGCAATACAATTTTTGGATGATATATCACTTTGGAGTTTTGGCCAAGTAAACCAAAGATGGAGAAGTATAATGTTAATGTATGCAGATCAAAATTATTGGAAAAGACAAGTCCATACACATTGGCCACTCTTAAATTTAGGAGATAATCACATTGTTGAGGATTGGCATGGGGTAATAATAATAATAATAAAATATTAAAATAAAATATTAATTAATCCTTTAGCTTTATACAACATTAATGAACAGCAGTTGCTGTATAAAATGTATACAACAAATGTCTGAAAAAGACTATGTAAATGAAGAGGAAAGTAGTTGGAGAAAAAATCGTTTGCGTTCAGAATTAAGGGCGTTAAGAACAGATGCTCCAGATGGTATACAAGCAATACCACTAGATGGGCATTACTACCATTGGCAAGCTACCATAATCGGTTCTGAAGGAAGTTGTTATGAAGGCGGAACATTTTTTTTATACATCCAAATACCTTGTACTTACCCAATGTCGCCACCGCGAGTACGTTTTTTAACGAAAATATTTCACCCCAATATTTCACGACATGGCGATATTGGTATTGACTCAATAAATACGAATTGGTCATTGGCGTTGACTATAAGTAAAGTTTTAATATCTATACAGTCGATTTTAACCGATCCAGTCTGTGATGTTTGTATGGAAAGAGAGGTTGGCCAGCTTTATTTGGAAGATAGAACTACTTTTGAAGAAGAAGCGCGAAGGTGGACTTGGAAATATGCTATGCATTCCTATTTACCTAATTAATGTTTAAGAAAATAATTAATTAACAAATAACTGTGTTTTATTTTATATTATTTAACCAACGCGCTTTTTGATATTTTTATTTCTTATTATTAACAATTATTTGTTGTATTATGTAAGTGTTATTAAATTAAAATTTTTTTTAAAGAAGAAATACTTTTATTGACAATTAAATCAACAATTATTATTCCCTGTGAACAGTATAGAAATGGAATTTAAGATTATCTTCCTAATTATTGGTTGTATCAAAATATTTTTCAAATAGAACTTGTTAAGAATTAAACAAGGAACAACTTTTGTAGGCACCATTTTTTAAAATTATTAATTTTTTAATTTTCCTGTGAACAATATAGAAATGGAATTCAAGATTATCTTTCTAATTATTGGTTGTATCAAAATATTTTTCAAATAAAACTTGTTAAGAATTAAACAAGGAACAACGTTTATTGGCACAATTTTTTAAAATTATCAATTTTTTAATTTCCCTGTGAACAGTATAGAAATTTAATTTAAGATTATTTTCCTAATTATTGTTTGTATCAAAATATTTTTCAAATAAAATTTGTTAAGAATTAAACAAGGAACAACTTTTGTAGGCACCATTTTTTAAAATTATTAATTTTTTAATTTCCCTGTGAACAGTACAGAAATGGAATTTAAGATTATCTTCCTAATTATTGGTTGTATCAAAATATTTTTCAAATAAAATTTGTTAAGAATTAAAAAAGGAACAACTTTAGTAGGCATCATTTTTTAATTTCCCTGTGGACAATAGTTAACCGGCAGATTATCTTTCTAATTATTGTTTGTATCAAAATATTTTTCAAATAAAAGTTGTTAAGAATTAAACAAGGAACAACTTTTGTAGGCACCATTTTTTAAAATTATTAATTTTTTAATTTCCCTGTGAACAGTATAGAAATGGAATTTAAGATTATCTTTCTAATTATTAGTTGTATCAAAATATTTTTTAAATAAAATTTGTTAAGAATAAAGCAAGGAACAACTTTTGGAGGCATATTTTTCAATTTGCGCTTTTTAATATTTTTATTTCTTATTATTAACAATTACTTGTTATATTATGTAAGTGTTATTAAATTAAAATTTTTTCTAAAGAAGAAATACTTTTTTTTTATTGACAACAAAATCAACAATTTCAATTTATTATCGCTCATCAATTTCCGGATTTAAACCAGCAGATTCGACAGTGAGTTCCTTTCCAGACGACTTCAAAGTAAAAACTACAGATAAAGTACTTAATACGGAATTTCCATCCTTTTCCAAATGTCGAATCCAAGATAACAAAGAATCCTTACTTGACGTTCCCGTCGCGCATAACGCAAAAATTGTGGCGTCGTTTTGTTCGTGTATGCTGGGAATATTCGCGAGGCTTTTCATTTTTGGAGGAGTAAAGTTGAAGAAGCTTACATCGATTTTACTTACATCTAAAATTCAATTAATATTAATAGGTTATTATAATGATATTTTTTTGTCATTTACCATCAGAAAGATCTTCAGTTTCTTCAGGAAAAATTTTTGGGTTTGCTCTTAACATAAAATAATTAACTGATTTCGTCCTTAACCAGACTCTATAAGGTCCTTCAACATAAATGGGTTCTTTTACATTGTGTTGTCTTAAAAGATCTTGTTGGATAGGGCTTTGAGCACTTACTATCCATGTATCCTCAATTGAATCAGCAATATCTGAACTCTAATACATAATTAATTTTTTTACATAATGTGTTTTAATTACTTACTTGATATATTGTTAATTTTGTTTGAACATCAACACTACTTATTCTAGCTATTGCTAATTGTGCTAGTTCAAAAGCATCATTAGGTGGGGGATTTGGTACAGGCCAAGGAGACAGATTTTTAAATTTTGGCATCCAATACATCATTCTCCAATATTTTCTTAATGGAATACCTCTTTTTCCAAAGATGTTTAGAAGCATGGACTCCATTTCCACGTCAGGTAAGACTCCATTATCTTCCATTTGCTCTAACAAATCAACAACACATTGTTGTTGTTTTGGATAATGCATAAACTCTGCTTGAAATATATTTTGGGGTATAAATTTTCCTTTAGGTAAAACATCAACAATCGCCTTGTATACTTCCAGATCTTTATGCACACCATATTGCTCCATATTTTTTAATGCTGAGTAAATAAATTCAACATGCCCTCTTCTATGAACATCTCTATTTACATAAATACGAATCATATCTAAATAAGAGTTTTTTGTTTTTTCCTTTGCAGTTTCAAAACTCAATTTCTCAGTAACTTCTTTCCCCGCCCCTGATTTTTCTTTATTTTCTGTAAAACGCATCGAATTCGTATGAAAACCCTTCATGTTGAAGGACGGTTGATTATTAAATTGATCATTTTTCGACTGTTTTATATAAAATAATAACATTCTTAATTGTCTTGTACGAAACATGATTAAATATCGTTTAAAAAATTTTATATTGAGTTGTAATTTAGTTAAAATATAGAAATTCACATTTTTATAGGTTAATGAACATACGACATAACCTCACTTTTTCAACGTAATGGTAATCATTGCGTTTTAACTATACTATATAGATCCCTGCAGTCGGTAACTAATTTAGTTTTTCTTAAACATCTTGAAAACGTGCATTAATTTTTTTTTATAATTATTAGCAATCGATGGGCTAATTTTTTCCTAATTTTAAAACTATTTATAATCCAAAAAAGAATTAACTAAAAATGGAAAGTTAAATTTTAATAAATCATTTATTTGGTCAATATCACAAATTGGCACTGAATCTAAAACCTTTAGACTAAATACTAAAGACTGAAATAAAACTTGTTAAGAATTAAAAAAGGAACTTTTTTGGCACCATTTTTTAAAATTATCAATTTTTTAATTTCCCTGTGAACAGTATAGAAGTGGAATTTAATATTATTTTCCTAATTATTGTTTGGATCAAAATATTTTTCTAATAAAACTTGTTCAGAATTGAAAAAGGAACAACTTTTGTTGGCACCATTTTTAAAAATTATGAATTTTTAATTTCCCTGTGAATAGTACAAAAAATGAAATTCACGATTATCTTAATAATTATTGTTTGTATCAAAATATTTTTCAAATAAAACTTATTAAGAATTAAACAAGGAACAACGTTTATAGGCAACATTTTTTAAAATTATTAATTTTTTAATTTCCCTGTGAACAGTACAGAAATGGAATTTAAGATTATCTTCCTAATTATTGGTTGAATCAAAATATTTCTCAAATAAAACTTGTTCAGAATTAAACAAGGAACAACGTTTGTAGGCAACATTTTTTTAAATTATTAATTTTTTAATTTCCCTGTGAACAATATAGAAATGGAATTCTAGATTATCTTTCTAATTATTGCTTGTATCAAAATATTTTTCAAATAAAACTTGTTCAGAATTAAACAAGGAACAACGTTTGTAGGCAACATTTTTTAAAATTATCAATTTTTTAATTTCCTTGTGAATAGTACAAAAAATGAAATTCACGATTATCTTAACAATTATTGTTATCAAAATATTTTTCAAATAAAACTTGTTCAGAATTAAACAAGGAACAACGTTTGTAGGCAACATTTTTTAAAATTATCAATTTTTTAATTTCCTTGTGAATAGTACAAAAAATGAAATTCACGATTATCTTAACAATTATTGTTTGTATCAAAATATTTTTCAAATAAAACTTGTTAAGAATTAAACAAGGAATAACGTTTATAGGCAACATTTTTTAAAATTATCAATTTTTTAATTTCCCTCTGAATAGTATAGAAATTAATTTCTAGGTTATCTTCCTAATTATTGTTTGTATCAAAATATTTTTCAAATAAAACTTGTTAAGAATTGAAAAAGGAACAACTTTTGTTGGCACCATTTTTGAAAATTATTAATTTTTTAATTTCCCTATCAACAATATAGAAATGGAATTTAAGATTATTTTCCTAATTATTTTTTGTATCAAAATATTTTTCAAATAAAACTCGTTCAGAATTAAACAAGGAACAACGTTTGTAGGCAAAATTTTTTAAAATTATCAATCTTTTATTTCCCTGTGAATAGTACAAAAAATGAAATTCACGATTGTCTTAATAATTATTGTTTGTATCAAAATATTTTTCAAATAAAACTTGTTAAGAATTAAACAAGGAACAACGTTTATAGGCAACATTTTTTTAAATTATCAATTTTTTAATTTCCCTCTGAATAGTATTGAAATTAAATTCTAGGTTATCTTCCTAATTATTGGTTGTATCAAAATATTTTTCAAATAAAACTTGTTAAGAATTGAAAAAGGAACAACGTTTATAGGCAACATTTTTTTAAATTATCAATTTTTTAATTTCCCTCTGAATAGTATAGAAATTAAATTCAAGATTATCTTCCTAATTATTGTTTGTATCAAAATATTTTTCAAATAAAACTTGTTAAGAATTAAAAAAGGAACAACTTTTGTTGGCACCATTTTTTAAAATTATCAATTTTTTAATTTCCCTCTGAATAGTATAGAAATGAAATTTAAGGATATCTTCCTAAATATTGTTTGTATCAAAATATTTTTCAAATAAAACTTGTTAGGAATTAAAAAAGGAACAACTTTTCTTATCACCATTTTTGAAAATTATCAATTTTTTAATTTCCCTCTGAATAGTATAGAAATTAATTTCTAGGTTATCTTCCCAATTATTGTTTGTATCAAAATATTTTTCAAATAAAACTTGTTAAGAATTAAAAAAGGAACAACTTTTGTTGGCACCATTTTTTAAAATTATCAATTTTTTAATTTCCCTGTGAACAGCATAGATTCAAGATTATCATCAGATTTAAATATTTCACCTATAATAATCAGCCCATGTTACTACAGATTAAAAATATACATTTTTTTAAATAAATAAGTAATTAAATTCGTATCTACAACCAGAGAGGTTTTAAAACTCCCGCCAAAAAATGGCTTTCATAAATTACACTGTGTAAACGTGACTTTTCATTTTACCCCTCCGAATTAAGTAATAGAATATGTATTTATAAATAATATATTGCCATCTTGTGAGTAATAGATGCAATAAATAATACCCCCACTTTTATCTTAACTAAACGTCCAGAACTACTTGAAAGTTGTCATGTCAATGTAGTAAATTGTCCAATCAGAAAGCAAATACCTTGGATGTTAGAGAGTGTGTAACTGATAGAAGACAAACTGGTGTAAAAGTGAGATAGGAAAAAGGAAAAAATGTTATTTTTTTCTATGATCTTGTGCTGTTGTGACCTATGATTGTGACGGTTGTGATCTACTTAGTAAATTTATTCAAAAACGTCCATAAAAAAGTGATTAAACCTAACGGGAATCTTCGATACATTTCGAAACTGTTACAAAATTAGTACAAAAATTTGTAATATATTGGTAATATTATGTAGATAAATTTCGTTATCGAGTGACTGAATCATACAATACGATATAAATTCGTCTATATTAATAATACAAGTTTAATTAGCGTTAAAACATTTAAAAATGTGGATGCCAACTCACGTTCAAGTAACAGGTAAGTTATTCTTTTCATGTTCAACTTTAATTATAAATAACGATGCCTTTGTTGACCCCTATTTATATAGTTCAAAAGGCAGCTGGCCTTTTAATTAAGGGCAAAAACAACACCAACGATTGTTTCGTTACTATTGCACTTGGAAAAACGAAATTTCAAACATCCGTGAAAGAAAAAGCTGAAGCTACAGTAGAATGGTTCGAAGAATGCGAATTGTAAGAATATCAGTTAATGTAAATACAAATTTATTTATTTTTTTTTAATTAATTAATTAATTAGGCCGATCCCCGATCAAGGAAACACAGCAGAAATTATCTTAACAGCTTTACACAGAAATTTTTTGGGGGTTGACGAATTTTTAGGACGCGTTGCGATTCCTTTAAATACCTTGGACATTTATGAGCGACCTAAAAATAGATTTTATTCTTTGCAGAGTAAACAAGGTAGATAGCAACAATTTTTTTTTCGTTTTGCTAATTAGTTTTTTTTTTTTTTTCTAAATCCTGGGAGAATTTTTTAACTTTCAAGGTCCTAGGAAATGAATTTCTTTCATTGTTCTGCAACAATGTTAATAAGGCAATTCCTATTTAAGGACTTTCTCATCGCTTTTTTTTCTGATTTTTCTATTAAACAAATATATTTTGCTAAATTCTTACATAACCTCATGAATTGGAGTTTATTTATGTATTATGTTTGAAAATATGTAGGAAATTCTTGTGATGCTTTCACTTCTATAATAATAAGAATCAATTTTGTTTAATAACATAAAATAAAATTAAGTCAAAGACCTCAAGTTTGTAAATTAACTTTATTGTTTATAAATAAAAGTGGCTAATGTTTATAAAATGACGCACAGGTCAAGAATCGAAAAATAAGGACAGGGGCAAATTAGAAGTGAAGATAGCGTTTACGGTAAAATCGGGTAGCTTAACTGATTTGAGTAAGAAAGAAAAGCACAAATCATCCATTGGGCAACTCTCAAACGTTGCGCAATCCGTCGGAGGAAGCTTATTAAGCATTGGAAGCATTGAAAAGCGTAAAGGTGGCCTTAAAAAGTTCGCGAAATCGCTTGGTTCTAAAATGCATCTCAAGGGTAAGAAAAAAGATGATGATGATAGCTCCTCTTTGGGCAGCGTTGGCAGCTTAAGGAGCCGAAATAACATATCCGAGGTGAACCAAAGCCGACAAACCGCCGAAGATGCTGATCCAGGAGTTGTTAGCGACGATGAAGATTTCACGGTAAGTTAACAAATAAAAAAAAAATTTTTAAATTAACTCAAATTTCCTAAATTTCAGTTTGATGATTTATCCCATAAAAGCTCTGGAAGTTCACTTAATCAACCCCCTCCACAAAACAACAACGTCAAAATCAAAGTGGATAGCCCAGAAGAAGAAGGCTCTAGAAGACACACAGTAGCTATTATTCCAACAAAACCCCCTAGAAATGATATTAAAACTCAAGATGAATGGGATTTAAAATTATATGGAAATAAATCGAAAAGTAAATAAAAATAATTCATAAATAATTAATTTTATAATCAATTTATTTAGATTTACTAAAGCCAAATGGAACGGAATCTTTAAACCGAAGATCATGGGAATCCCCGACTTTATCCTTACGAATCGAAGAAGAAGATGACACCGATTTAAAACGAGCCGAAAGTGAAGAACTCGTTCCGCCGCCTCAAAAAGAACGAGAAAGTCGATTTTCCATTTTAAAACCTTTCAGAAAAGGTACGCACAAAAGTATTTCAAAAGGACTTCAGGGTGTGATAGCTTATCCAAAAATTTGAAAAAAAGGTTTTATCAACTTACCCTCTAAAGTTTTTTGCGAATATCTCCGGAACGGTTTATCGTACAGAAAACAGATTTTGTAAGCATTTTCTACTCATAATGAGCTAAGTTGTGTGCGAATTTTTTTTAAAGCCATATTTGGTAAAGATTTTGAAGGGGTAGTTGCTGTTTTTCTAATCAACTTCTACGCCACTGGAAAATGTAGGGTTTTGAGACGCCCTTTTGAACCGCCAATGTTTTCTACACAAAAGAGGTAATGAAGGTCATGAGCTCTAAATTTAACCGTTTTTAAGAAAAATTAACTTTTATGTTAAATAACATGGTCAATTTTTTATTTTACTAAAACGTAATTATATAATTAAAAAAAAACAATTACAAATCATACACAGTTAAATTAAATGTTGGAAATATCCGCCGTTAGCTTCAATGCACGCAGCAATTCTTCGACGCATTGACTGTCTAACAAGCAGGAAAATTCGCGAAGTGTTCCGAATGATGTCGCAAGATGATGCGCAAGACTAAGGTTCCAAACTAAAGCGGGCCGGAGCTCCATCATGCATAAAGTACATGTTTTGTCTTACTTGAAGCGGTACATCTTCCAGCAGTTCCGGCAGTACTTCTTCTAGAAATTGTCGATAATCTGCACCGTTTAACCTGTTCGGTAAAAATGTGGACCTATCAAATGATCACCGACGATGGCAGCCCAAACATTTACGGAAAATTGTTGCTGATTTGAATTTTTTTGGTACTTGTGGTCGGAATTTCATCAATTTCGTTGAGGTCAGCCTCTTCTACTTGAGGATTTGCAACTTCCATTATCAGCAGTATTATTCCTTTTAAAACTTCCATTTTCCCATAGTCGTTGGTGAATGCGTAGAAACAAGTTATGATGTGGTATTCGGCGATCAGGATGTCTTTCTTGATACAACCGCCTTGCTTCTGCCGAATTACCGCACGCCATTCCGTAAAGGTAATACATTTCTCACATTTCAGCGTTTGTGTAATTAATTTTTAATTTTGTAATACAAGTTTAATTTTTGCAGGTACAAACTAATTGTTATTTTGACAAGAGGTAGATTTTGTTATAAAATTTAAAGCCTACTTGTTCAAAACAAGATATACAATTTTTTACACAAACGCTGAAATGTGCGAAATGCGTTACCTTTACGGTTTGGAGAATTTTGAAAAGACTTTTATATCATTTTTTCATTTTTTTTATTTTGCAATTATGTAGTTAACGCTTGCTTTTGTTACTTGTTCTAACGTTTTAGTAAAATGAAATTTTTATTCCAAAAAATTGACCATGTTTTTCAACACAAAAGTTGATTTTTCTTTTATAGCTGAGGTGTTGCAATCGACCGTTAAAGAAAAAAGCTATCGAGATACTGCCTCGCCCGCTACTCGACCTCGGCCTAATGATAAAACATTGTTATTGTTATTCAACTATTTTATATTACGACAATGAAGATGCTAGTCGCGAATTCATATGGCTGAGATTATTTATAGCCGAGGTGTTATAATCGACACCCTTAAAGAAAATGCTATCAAGGCAGTGCCTCGCCCGCTACGCGACCTCGGCTTATTAATAAAACATTATCATCTTGTTATACAACTAATTATTCTATTTTAAGATAGTGAATAAGTTGGTCATGAATTGTTATAGCTCAGATCGTTTATAGTCGAGGTGTTGCAATCAACCGTTGAAGAAAAAAGTTATCGAGGCTCTGCCTCGCCCGCTACGCGACCTCGGCTTAATGATAGAACATCGTGATCTTTGTTATACAACTATTTTATATTAAGACAACGAAAATGCTGGTTCAATTCATATGGCTGAGATTATTTATAGCCGAGGTGTTATAATCGACACCCTTAGAGAAAATGCTATCGAGGATATGCCTCGCCCGCTACGCGACCTCGGCTTATTAATAAAACATCATCATGTTATTATACAACTAATTATTCTATTTTGAGATAATGAAGAAGTTGGTCGTGAATTGTTATAGCTAAGATGCTTTATAGCCGAGGTGTTGCAATCGATCGTTAAAGAAAAAAGCTATCGAGGCTGTGCCTCGCCCGCTGCGCGACCTCGGCTTAATGATAAAACGTGATATTTGTTATACATCTATTTTATATTAAGACAATGAAATTGCTGGTCGCGAATTCATATGGCTGAGATTACTTATAGCCAAGTTAGTAGAAAATTCTTACAAAAGCTGTTTTCTATACGATAAACGGTTTTGGAGATATTTGCAAAAAACGATTTTTTTAATTAAATTTATGTATCTTGAAAATGCTGCATTTTAGAGAGTAAGTTGATAAAAACTTTTTTTTAAATTTTTGGACAAGCTTTCACATCCTGAAGTCCTGCTCATATATTATGAAACACCTAGTATAATAAACAAATAATTAATATTTTTTTTTAATTTTTATTAGAAAAAAGTGAACCAGATTTAAAAAAAGAAAAACTATCGAGTGAACGTATAATAATTGGCGGTGAAAATGATTCCGTGAATAATCATAATTCATCGAATGGTAGGGTTTCGAATGAATTGATGCAAAAATTTGAAGGTAAAAGTCGCGAAGATTTGATATTGATGGTTTGCGAGTTGCAAAGCGATGTGGAGCATGGCAAAAAGAAATTAAAAGATTTGGAGGATTATTTGGACGATTTGTTGCTGAGGGTTATGGAAACTACGCCGAGGTTACTTCAAAACCCTTACATTCAATGTAAACTGACTCAGAAATTAGGTTAGGAAAATGTTAATGAAACATCACAGGTAACCAAAGTAAAAAATTAAATAAATAAAGGTTTTCTTGTTTTGTTTTAAATATGAAAATGTTTTACACGTTTTAATTATAATAAAAGTGACTTTAATATTTATTCATCACTCAGTTATAGTATTGATATATATTTTTTTTTGATTTTGTGATTCTTAATTTTTAACATTTTCACATCTTACTAACCATAGAGATTATTTTTTGTTTTTGTTTTCTTTTTAATTAATTAATTAACAGCGGCATCCAAACATCACATGTTCGCATATATTAATTAATTGTTTAGTGATATTAATATATTATTATTGTGTATATTTTTGTTTTTCTTCTTTATTATGTTTTGAATTTTTTGTATTTTTGTGGTGTATTGGACTTATTACGTGTAAATGCAGACTATAATATGAATATATTTTTTGTACTTTAAAATGGGATGATAAATAAAAAAGTTATTCTGTATTTATTTATTACTTTATTTTAATTGAAAAAAACTTCACTCAACTTGAGTCTTTTATTATTACTTTTCTATAAATCTTGTTAACAATTAAAGAAGGAACAACTTTTGATGGCACAATTTTTTAAAATTATCAATTTTTTAATTTCCCTATGAACAGTATAGAAATTTAATTTAAGATTATTTTCGTAATTATTGTTTGTATCAAAATATTTTTCAAACAAAACTTGTTAAGAATTAAACAAGGAACAACGTTTATTGGCACAATTTTTTAAAATTATCAATTTTTTAATTTCTCTGTGAACAGTATAGAAATTTATTTTAAGATTATTTTCGTAATTATTGTTTGTATCAAAATATTTTTCAAATGAAACTTGTTAAGAATTAAGCAAGGAACAGCGTTTGTTGGCACCATTTTTTAAAATTATCAATTTTTTAATTTCTCTGCGAACAGTATAGAAATTTAATTTAAGATCATTTTCGTAATTATTGTTTGTATTAAAATATTTTTCAAACAAAACTTGTTAAGAATTCAACAAGGAACAACGTTTATTGGCACAATTTTTTAAAATTATCAATTTTTTAATTTCCCTGTGAACAGTATAGAAATTTAATTTAAGATTATTTTCCTAATTATTGTTTGTATCAAAATATTTTTCAAATAAAACTTGTTAAGAATTAAACAAGGAACAACGTTTATTGGCACAATTTTTTAAAATTATCAATTTTTTAATTTCCCTGTGAACAGTATAGAAATTTAATTTAAGATTATTTTCCTAATTATTGTTTGTATCAAAATATTTTTCAAACAAAACTTGTTAAGAATTAAACAAGGAACAACGTTTATTGGAACAATTTTTTAAAATTATCAATTTTTTAATTTCCCTGTGAACAGTATAGAAATTTAATTTATGATTATTTTCGTAATTATTGTTTGTATCAAAATATTTTTCAAATAAAACTTGTTAAGAATTAAACAAGGAACAACGTTTATTGGCACAATTTTTTAAAATTATCAATTTTTTAATTTCCCTGTGAACAGTATAGAAATTTAATTTAAGATTATTTTCCTAATTATTGTTTGTATCAAAATATTTTTCAAATAAAACTTGTTAAGAATTAAACAAGGAACAACGTTTATTGGCACAATTTTTTAAAATTATCAATTTTTTAATTTTTCTGTGAACAAGAATCTTCATTCAACTTTAGTCTTTTATTATTACTTTTCTATATAGTAGCGCCATCTCTTATCCGCGGCATTTACTAAAAGTTCGCTACAACCTAACAGATGTCGGTTTAACGTTTAATTACAAACTAACATTGTAAGATCTTTTTAAACTCGACTTATTTAATTTTTGTATGATTGATATATTTTTTTGTATATTTTTGACCTAAACAAGTTAATTCAGGCTACACTTGAAACCCTTATTTTTATGTTTTATTAATTTTGATTAAATTTACTTCTTATTTTAATGTTTATGGATAAATAATGAGTTTTCCGAGTGTGGGCGAAAACGCTCGAGTAACAAAGGGGTTGAGAAGTAAAAGGGTAAGGGGATGCTGTACGAGGACCGAGCGAGGACGAGGACAGTAGACGCCGGGACGGCGCCGGTTTCGTCCCTATCAAGCGTTGGCAGCGCCGTGAGCGAGCCTCAAGCAATAAACCCCGCCGAACATGCTCAAATACTAAACACGAATCATATCAAGCCGGATTTCACGTCGACGTCCAGTTGATCATGGATTACATCGTCAGCCTTTACGGGTGCATGTTCCTCGTCGGAGTCCTCGCCAACGGCACCTTGGGTCTGGCACTCTGCACCGGTCCTGGTGCCAAAAGTCGGAGTCCTCTTCTACTGGGTTTGGTAGCGGCCGATTTTTGTGTTTGTTGTCTTAGTGGGCCTATCACAGCTGCTCTTTATACCATCACTACGTGGACGCAATCTTGGTCTAATATCGCAATCTTTTTGCAGGTAAAATTATTTATTTTTATTTTTTTCCATTTATTTGTTTATGATTTTTGGTGTTCCAGGCTTGGCCAATATCGTCCTGTACTCTTTCAATGATGTCGTTATCCATTGATAGATACTTGACTGTAAAAAATTATAAACCAGCTGGACAGGTGGTCAGAAGAAGACCTCTTCTGTTAACCGTTGTTTTAGTAACATGGCTTTCTGCGGCGTTATTTTCCGGTCTCCAATTTGCAGAACGTAATCCGTGGCGGAGGAGCTTTCTAATGGTTCGGGTTACTTTCGTACACATAGTTCCCGCGTGTACCGTTTTGGCATGTCATCTTGGTGTCCACGCGAAATTAACGGCACTTTCATTAACCGCCAGAGCGAAACATGGAGAGCTACCACTTCCTATGCCATTATTGAGGAGGCCAACTCATGTTATTATTGTTGCAGGAATTTCAAATCGCCTAGAATCAGAGGTAATTATTTTTTTTTTATTACAATATTATTAGCTATATATATTGGTTTTATGATGTTAGAACCAATTTGCAATGAAAACAAAAGAGCATTTTTAAAACGTTTTTATTATCGTTCCATTGTGCTGGTGTGTTTATGGCCTGTTTAGGTTCCTGATCGGTTATTGTTTATTGTTTGACGAAGTGTCGAGTTGCCCTTATTTTTATTCCCACGGCGGTGCTATTAAAATTATCGGAAAACTGTCGATCTGCACTGCAAGCGCCCAATAGTATGGGATAATTGAATAAAAAAAGAGGGCGACGTTTTTGCAAACAATTTTTTAAAATATCGCAATTTTCATACCTTTTAGCCTAGAAATGGAACATCAAAAACAGACAACGAACCTGAAGAAATAACTCAACCGCCAACGAGTACATTGCGAAGTCGGCGGCGGTTAGCGAACGCAATGTTATGGATATCGATAGTATTCGCATTGTGTTGGTTGCCACACGTGGTTTGTTTGATTTTGGAGGATGTTCACGGATCGCCACCAATGATAATAAAGCGTTATTGTTTGTTCCTGGGTCATGTCCATTCAGCCTTAAGTCCGATCATGTATTGGACGCTCAACCATCAGTGGTTACAACGGCCGTGCAAATTTCGATTGCCCAGTTTGTATAGAAGCGCCTCATCGACCAACGAAGCGGCCCTAGGACCATTCCACCCTCGATTGGTGCGTCCACCTCCAATCAGGAGAAGAAGCTCGCACTATTTATATTGACTGTGATCAGTTATTATATTTTTATTCAGTTATTAATATCAAAATTATTTCAAAAAAAAAATACAAACAAATTCTGATTGTTAAGTGTTTTTAAAAGAATCGTAAATGTCACACATTTCTTTTTATATTTGACAATCAAATTGCATGGTTAGATGTGCCTACGAGTGCTGTATACAGAGTGTTTGTTTTCTACGAGGAAATAAACATCCTGTATATAAAAAAGAAACTGAAATAAAAATTCTGTTCCTAAGATGTTATTTATTATATTCTTCTACTTCTCTATGTAGGGTGAAAAAATAGGGTATTTAAATTTGTCGTGAAAAAAAAAAGATTATATGAAAATAAAAACTATTAAGTGTCGCAAATTCTTGTTTTATTTTAATATATACATTTTTAATTATTTAATTCTTCTAATTTATCGTCAATCCCATCCTTTTTATTGTAATAATTAAACGTGGGTGTAGTAGGATACCAATTTAATCCAGCATTTTGACACATACAAGTAGTCGATCCAATTCTCCGCTCAAATTGTTGAGGATATTGAACTCTATGTAGCGTAGGAGGTCTTTCAAATCGTTTAAATTCAACGGGATTGTGTACAATGCCACCTTTTGGGTACCAGACGAAATGTTGCGGAGGTTGCTCCCCATAATTTTGACGGTTATGAGTCGGTAAAGACGGGATAAATAAATTCTCGTTTCCACCGTTCGATTTTATAAAATTATCCGAATAAATATTTCCCGACTCGCCGATTGGAGATTGCGAAATTCCGGTTATAATCGGAATTTCAGATGTATCTTCTACCGTTTCGTTCGATTTGATTCGTTTTTGACTCGTTTTAACTCTCACCACAATATCAGTAAGAATATCATCATCATTTGGAGTTTGAGTTTTATTACAACCTTCATTTCCACAAATTATCGAATCGGATTCAACTAAAATCCATTAAAAAAAATTATTCAAAGAAAAAAAAATTACCTCTAAAAGTACCTTTTAAAAAAATGAATAAAAACGAAGCGATAACAATAAAAGTAAAGTTCCACATGATTTCACTTATACGTCTAAACTCTAAAGAGATATTGGCGTGACAAATGAAGATTGGCGAAAAAAGTTGAGTAATAAAGGAAACTAGTCAAGGTTATTGAAAACAAGACAACCTAACCCGGGGGCATTGGAATAATTATGTTATTTACATTAAAAGGATTTCCTTAGATCGAAGAAAGAGGAATTAAAAAAGACAAAGACAATTCGAATCAATTTTATATATACAAAATTCAGTCACTTCTATAAAAAAAATATCGCAAAATAAATAAAGCAAAACAGTCTTAAAACAAAGGAGACCTAATTTTGGCACAAAGGAACATATCAAAGAAAATATTAAAAATTTATATATGTATACTAAACATATCGAATTAATTGAGCGTAGAATTCTTGTAGGCAAACTTGTAATTGAGTAAACGTTGGTCTTTCCGACGGAGACATCGCCCAACAATATGCCATTACAGCAAACCTAAAAAAATTATACAATTTTAAAACATAATTTTTTATTTATTTATTTCAGTTCCACCATTCGTAGAGGTTTGAAATTTTGATAGCATGGAGGTTTTTTGTTAGTTCTACTGCAAAACTGTCGCTAGGACCAATGTCTATTTTGTTTGCAAACAAATGCTCTTGCGTTGGCTTCAAACTTCTATATACAGTGTGTCCCCGGATTGTGTCCCCGTAAGGTATAATTGATGATACATTTTTGAATTCAAATTCCATCTTTTGCAATTAAAGTCTGGATGTCATAAAACGAAATATAACCAAGTTTTACGTCAAATATCCTCAAGTACCAAAGTTAACGCAAGAAGTTTGTTAACCGTTGCAGGTAAAGTGGTCTTTCTGAGCAATGTACAGCAAAAGTTGATTAAGATAAAATGTTTGTTATGTTAAATTAAAGCGATATACCGAATTTTATTAATTTAGCATATAAAAGAAAAAATGAGTTTTTTCTTGAAAATTTTTTTCTAATATTCCGTTTTACAATAAAAACAAATGATCTGAGTGAACTAACAATCATCATTTGATAGCTTAGCTTAGCCTATTGTCAAATATTAATTGATCATGTTTACATTACAACATAAAATATTTATAGTGAAGTGCTATGGATTGTGGAACATTTGTTACAATGCAATTTGAGGAAATATTTGGAATTTTAGTAGATAAAAAACAATTAAGAGAGTTGTTAAAAAATTTTTCGGAAACAGGCAATGTGGAAAATAAAAGGAAGAAAAAAAAGCTTTTAGATGAATATGATGCGGGGTCGATTGTTGCAGTAACGAACGCAATGGATGCAAAGGGTAGTTCAAGTCGGTATAGGTAAATCCCATTTACAAAGAATTTAAAATTTAGTTTAAAACAAAAAATTGAAACTGTTATTAGAGAAATTCCGTTGGACCATATTAGAAAAAGTTATAAACAATGTCGGAAAAGGGCTGAATTATGTGTTAGTGTTGGTGGTGATATCATTGAATAAGCGTTTATGTTAATTTAGTTTAGATCGAAAATGTTTTGTTAATCTTATGATTTAAAAATCTGCACATTTTGCTTTTATATCCTAAATTAATAAAATTCGGCATATCGCTATAATTTAAGATAGCAAACATTTTATCTTAATCAACTTTTGTTGTACATTGCTCAGAAAGACCACTTTACCTGTAACGGTTAACAAACTTCTTGCGTTAACTTTGGTACTTTGAGGACATTTGACGTAAAACTTGGTTATATTTCGTTTTATGACATCCAGACATTAATTGCAAAAAATGGAATTTGAATTCAAAAATTTATCGTAATTAGATGAAATTGGTTAGACTTTATCCAGTGGCGCGTATCCAAAGAGCATCCTAATTTCATATATAAAATTACAATCACAAATTAATTGTTAAACTAACTACCAATTGAACCGTAATAATTTTATAGATTGTAGAATGATTTTTTTTCTATATCTTTGTCAAGTTTTAATAAGATTTTGAAGTATTAAACACAATAAATATAATCTTGTAATCTTTTAAATTAATCAGAGGATCTAGAAACAATATACATACTTGGTAAACGATACAAGTATGTCCTATTTTGTTTGATAAGTTCTATTTCTAACTAAAAGTAGTGGTATACTAAATGTACAAATATATATAAATAAAAATGAAGAAAAACGAATCGAAAGAAAGAACGACTTTGAAGATTTATTGATTCGCAAATAGGATTCGTTATTTTAGTGTATGTCTTATTCTAGGGGCTAAAATAATATTCGGGAGTGTTCGGCGATGATCGGCCGATCTGTGCACGTTCATTGTTTCAACTGGTTTCGACAAAGGTTGTTAGTAAACAAACCGAGTGTTGCGTTGGCTTCAAGTTTTAATGTTTACAACTGCTTCTATATATAAAATTTCTTTGCATATAAATGAGTGCTGTCATTATTCGAATTTTTCTCTTTTCGCTGACGACTGTAAAATTTTTGCTAGCATCAGGTCTGCTTCTGACTGTATTCGGTTGCAAGATGACATTGACAGATTTAAAAAAAAATTAATTATTTCTAAGTCCTGATAAGTGTTGTCAGATCATGTTTGGTAGAAAGAGATATAATGTTAACTTCAAGTATAAGCTAGGTCTACATTATCTTACTCAATCCTCTACAATTAAAGATCTTGGCGTAAGCGTCTAGGATTTATCATTAGGATTTCTCGTCCATTTACTAACGTCCGCTGCATTACTTCTTTATATATGGCATACGTTGCTAGCGGTTTAATTTCGCTTCAATAGTGTGGAGTCCTGCCTATAATACCTTATTAAGGGCAAAAATATATTACAAAAGCTGTTTTTTGTACGATGAACAGTTTCGGAGATATCCGCAAAAACCGAATTTTTTTTATTAAATTTCAACATTATCTCGAAAATGGTGCATTTTAGAGGGTAAGTTGATAGAAACTTTTTTCAAATTTTTGGACAAGCTATCACATCCTGGAGTCCTGCGCATATACAGTATATCCCTGGATAGATGAAACGCCTCTTATAAAAGGTAAAAATTTTCGATATTAATTGTCATTTTTTGGGGTTTAGCCCTGCTTGATTAACGACTAATTTTGAACATATTATCAATTTTTAAAAAACAAGTGAGCCTTGACAATGAAAGAAAAACTTTTTTTGTGGCAGGTAAAGTACCTTTTCTGTTTACAGTACGTGAAAGTGTTACTAAGAAGTTTTGTTCAGAATGAAAAACTATGGCCATATGCAAATTTTCGGAATAATCGGCCTACTTTGATAAAAATCCATATCAAAAAGTTTATTTCTAACAAAAACTGCCATGGAAAAACAAAATTGCTTTTCTGTTTATGTTAATCTGTGTGTAATTTAGTACACTTAATGTGTGTTTTGAATACAATATTAACATTAGAGGAAAAGTTTATAGAAAAATCGATAAATATGGTTATTGCGTTATTTAATGAAAAATTTCCAAATACTGGACGATTTGAAGGATTTCTTACAGCAGGAAGTGTTCACTATAAGAAAGCTCTAACTTGGTAAGATTACTCTTCAGATGATATCAAATAGATTGTCATTTGTTGTATCAGAGTATCTTATACAGGTTGGTCAAAAATTGAATTGTCGTTTCTTCATATTTAATGGCAAAAAAGCTGAAGATTTTATATGGTATGCCCCATATTTTTTTAAACTACCAGAGAGAGAATTAAATTCTTTATCCAAACCTAATTTTTGATTTCATTGATTCATTTATTTGTTCTTGTATTTGTTATTTTTGCTAAATAAAACATAGTGATTAAAAGATTATCAATCAAAGTTAATTGTAAAAATAAATTAAATGAAAAACTATCAAAATAGCACTTCCCGGCAAATGCCCTTTCTGGTGGGCGAATAAAATATGGGGCTTGCCGTTTAAAATTTTCACTTTCTTGCCATTGAATGCGGAAAAAGGTAATTCACTTTTTGACCACCCTGTACAAGATACTGTGATGAGCAAATGACAATCTATTTGACAGCCTTTGAAGAGTAATCGTGCCAATTTGGAGCTTTTTTGAATGAACGTTTGTTGAGATATGGAGTTTTAATTTAAATTTAAAAATTTTAAATCTAAATAACTCGAAAACGAAAAGCGCTAGGTACCAATAACTTTTATCAAAATCAACTTATTTTTTCGCATATAATTAAAATATGCAATAAAAACTATAGCATTCCATTTAAAATAACGAAGTTGTGGTCTACTTCCGGGGGACCGGAAGTGGCCACCATGTTGAAAATACTTTAGATCGAAAGGTCGGTGTGAACCTCCTACATAAACTAAATTTCAGAAATGGAGATGCAATGGAACAGAAATAAAACGGGTGTTGCTGACTTTTTGGAGGACACTGTAATTCAATTGTTGGCCGTCCTGTATAAGATATTCTGATACAACAAATGACAAAATAGCATTTCCCGACAAATTCCCTTTCTGGTGGGCTAATAAAATATGGGGCTTGCCGTTTAAAATTTTCACTTTCTTGCCATTGAATGCGGAAAAAGGTAATTCACTTTTTGACCACCTTGTACAAGATACTGTGATGAGCAAATGACAATCTATTTGATAGCATTTGAAGAGTAATCGTGCCAATTTGGAGCTTTTTTGAATGAACGTTTGCTGAGATATGGAGTTTTAATTTAAATTTAAAATCAAAGTAACTCGAAAACGAAAAGCGCTAGGTACCAATAACTTTTATCAAAATCAACTTATTTTTTCGCATATAATTAAAATATGCAATAAAAACTATAGCATTCCATTTAAAATAACGAAGTTGTGGTCTACTTCCGGGGGACCGGAACAGCAATGGAACAGAAATAAAACGGGTGTTGCTGACTTTTTGGAGGACACTGTAATTCAATTGTTGGCCATCCTGTATAAGATATTCTGATACAACAAATGACAAAATAGCATTTCCCGACAAATTCCCTTTCTGGTGGGCTAATAAAATATGGGGGTTGCCGTTTAAAATTTTCACTTTCTTGCCATTGAATGCGGAAAAAGGTAATTCACTTTTTGACCACCTGTACAAGATACTGTGATGAGCAAATGACAATCTATTTGACAGCATTTGAAGAGTAATCATGCCAATTTGGAGCTTTTTTGAATGAACGTTTGCTGAGATATGGAGTTTTAATTTAAATTTAAAAATTTAAAATCAAAATAACTCGAAAACGAAAAGCGCTAGGTACCAATAACTTTTATCAAAATCAACTTATTTTTTCGCATATAATTAAAATATGCAATAAAAACTATAGCATTCCATTTAAAATAACGAAGTTGTGGTCTACTTCCGGGGGACCGGAAGTGGCCACCATGTTGAAAATACTTTACACTCCTACATAAATTAAATTTCAGAAATGTAGATGCAATGGAACAGAAATAAAACGGGTGTTGCTGATTTTTTGGAGGACACTGTAGAGTAATTCAATTGTTGACCATCCTGTATAAGATACTCTGATATAACAAATGACAATCTATTTGACAGCGTCTGAAGAGTAATTATACCAATTTAGAGCTTTTTATGTATCAAAGGCAATATATTTTTTACGCACAATTAAAAATTATAACATTCCATTTAAAAAAGCGGCACATGTCGCAAAAAGATGATGAAGATGGCAAATTTCATCCAGTATATTATTGGAGCCGAAAGACAACTGATGCTCAACGAAAATGTAAAGAAATATATTATAGAAAAACTGCGAAGGACAAAAACTGTTGGCAATATTTTCGAAAATGTATTATCAAATAATCAAAAACGCAGAGGAGAACGGTCATTTTGGACTTAAAAAGACGAAGGAATTAATAACTCGCAAATATTATATACCAAATATAGACGAAAAAATCAGGAAGTATATTCAAAATTATATACCATGCATCTTATCAGAACGTAAAGCTGGAAAACAAGAAGGAAGGTTGAGACCAATTGATAAAGGAGAAGTTCCACTTCAGATTTATCATATTGATCATTTAGGACCAATGATAGTAACAGGTAAATGCTATAAATACCTGTTTCTAGTTATAGACGCCTTTTCCAAATTTGTATGGATCTATCCAACAAAAACCACAAACACAAAGAAGTGATAGAAATGCAAAAGAAAATATTTGGCAATCCTGAAACAATTGTGTCTGACCGAGGTACAGCGTTTACCTCAAACGAATATGAAAACTATTGTAAAGATGAACAGATAAGACATATGTTAATCAGGACCGGAGTGCCACATGGAAATGGCCAAGTAGAAAGAATAAACAGAATTATAATACCATGCTTGTCGAAATTATGTGAGAATAAACCTAATAATTGATATAAACATCTAAGAAGACTCCAAGAAACTATAAACAGCACATATCAAAAAAGTGTTAACACCTGGGCCTGAAATATGTCTTTTCTTGATAATTTATGCTCCACACTATGCTGCTTACAGGGTATTACTGACTATTTGTATTGCGCGGACGATTTAAATATAAACATGCTGGATTTTAATAGCACATATACAGAGAGCATGATTTGCTCACTTTTTATGGTACAAATATGCTTTACCCAAATTCCCATGAGATATTTTCGTTTGAACTCAGTGACACCCCTTCGATCATTAAAATTTTAAATGGCATTAAATCAACATCTTCTGGTATAGACGAATTGAACATCACATTTATAAGAATGTGTCTCCCTGAAATATTGCCCTACATTGTACATATTATAAATACCTGTCTTGAACAGTCTATTTTCCCGGAAGCCTGGAAGATTGCTTTGGTAATGCTGTTGCCTAAAAAACCAAATCCAGCAGGTTTGGCGGACCTGCGTCCAATTAGTATCCTGCCAGTTATCTCAAAAGTCCTTGAAAGGTGCATGGAGGTCCAATTGCGTAAATATATTAGTGATCATAACATCTTGCCCACCTCTCAGTCTGGTTTTCGACCTAACCATAGCTGTACAACGGCTCTATTAAACGTAACAGACGATATTATTAGAGCTCGTGATGGCGGTCTATGTGGGATACTTGTACTTCTGGACTACAGTAAGGCCTTTGATAAGGTTAACCATTCAATGCTTTTAGCTCTTCTGCGCTATGTTGGTCTGTCCGACTCAGCGGTTTTGCTTTTGGAAAGTTTCCTATCCAATCGTGCTCAGATAGTAAAATTGAACAATCATCACTGCCTGTGAGAGTGGGAGTGCCACAGGGGTCTATTCTGGCTCCTTTATTGCTTTCCTTGTATACATCCCAGTTGCCTAAGTGCATTCAATATTCGTCGATACACATGTACGCAGATGATACCCAAATTTACATAACCTTTCCAAAGGAACACTCGCTTCTGCTTGCTCAAAAATAAATGCAGATCTGAACGCTATTTTAGATCGCTCGCACAAGATGGCACTAACTCTCAATGCCACTAAATCTAAGGTAGTCATCTTTGGTAACTTGGACTCTGATAATGTCGGTATATTTTTGGGTGGAGAGAGGCTGGCAGTGTACCCTGAGTCAAAAAATCTGGGTGTGCTTGTCGACAGCAATCTGCGATTCATTCTTAGATGCCTCTATCAACACCGACACATTTTAAATATAATTACAAAGAAACGTTTGTGCGAAACACTTGTTCTGTCAAATTTTGTGCATTGTGCTGCCATGTATGGTCCATGTTTAACTGGGTATGAACTTCATCGTATTCAAAGGGTTCAAAATAGCTGTCTTCGTTTTATGTATGGCGTTCGTAAGCGTGAAAATATTGGTCACACATTGGTTACTGCAAAATGGTTAAATATCAGAAACAAATTCAAACATCAGTTCTTGTGTCTTGTGCACAAGTTAATTACTACGGGGACTCCACCTTACTTATACAGGGTGTCTCACGTAACTGGTTCGTTAGAACTTTTTTAGGTTCCAGTATTCGTACAGTTTTGAAATTTTGGTAGCATAGGTTGTTCATTCGGAACTTTTGATCTAAAATGCTATAGTTTTTATTGCACCTTTTAATTGTACGTAAAAAAATATGTTGACTTTCATAAAAGTTATTGGTACCTAGCGTTTTTCGTTTTCGAGTTATTTCGATTTTAAGGTTTTTTTGGTATATTTCACCATGCTCTTTAAAACCTTATATCCCAGCCAACGTTCATTCAAAAAAGCTCTAAATTGGCACGATTACTCTTCAGAGGCTCTCAAATAGATTGTCATATATTGTATCAGAGTATCTTATACAGGTTGGTCAAAAATTGAATTACCGTTTCTTCATATTCAATGGGGAGAAAGTCGAAAATTTTAAATGGAACGCCCCATATTTTATTAGCCTACACGAAAGGGAATTTAATTCTCTACAATTTATCTATAAACATTCCTATATTTATTTATTGTAGTTTCTCTCATATTCGTAAATTTATCAAAACATGCAGAAAATGCAGGAAACCGTTTGTATTTTTATTAGAAGGCCATGACATTTTGACAGTTTTTTGTTTAATTTATTTCTATTATTATTTGTACTATTAACTACGATTGATAATCTTTTAGTTTATTACTTTTACTTACGAAAAATAACAAACAGAAGATCAAATAAGTCTCACTCATTAAGTGATCGACACGTCTTGTGCGAAAGTTTATTACATTCGCCATCAATACAAAATAAATTTCAAATATCGGCTATAACTCAAATATAACTTACACCCGTCGTCAAATGTAACTAATGGCAATAATAATACAAACATGGACCAAAAACTGTCAAAATTCCATAGCTTTCTAATAAAAAACCTGTATTTCGTGCATGTTTTAATAAATTTCGCAATATAAGGCAAACTACAATAAATAGGTATGGGAATGTTTATAGATAATTTGTAGAGAATTAAACTCTCTTTCTGATAGGCTAAAAAAATATGGGGCGTTCCATTTAAAATTTTCGAGTTTCTCGCCATTGAATATGGAGAAACAGTAATTCAATTTTTGACCACTCTGTATAAGATACTGCGATACAACAAATGACAATCTGTTTGACAACATCTGAAGAGTAATCGTGCCAAAGTAGGTCTTTTTTGAATGAACTTTGGCTGAGATATTAAGTTTTAAAGAGCATGTTGAAATTTACCAAAAAAAGTTTAAAACCAAAATAACTCGAAAATGAAAAACGCTAGGTACCAATAACATTTATCAAAGTCAACCTATTTTTTTACGTACAATTAAATAGTGTAATAAAAACTATAACATTCCATTTAAAATAGCGAATTCCGGTAGACCGGAAGTGGCGGCCATCTTGAAAATATTTTAGATCGAAAGTTCCGAATGAACAACCCATGCTACCAAAATTTCAAATCTCTACGAATAGTGGAACCTGAAAAAGTTCTAACGAACCAGTTACGTGAGACACCCTGTATAATAAAATCACCTATAGGACCGATGTTCATAACTTGAATCTTAGACACAAAAATACTATCGCCGTTCCTGCTCACAGGAAAGCTCTTTTTAGGCGCTCTTTTTCATATAATGTGGCCAAGGAGTATAATTCCTGTCCTCCTGAATTTAAAAATAAAAGTCTATCCGTTTTTAAAGTTAACTTGCGTAACACCTTGTTTCGGCTTCAGATGGGTCAACATAATCCTTATGCTGCCTCAGTGCTCTGACATTGGGTTGTTATCTATTTATTCTAATTTAATTGCGGAAAACAATTGAATATGTAATTATTAGTCGTTCTCAACTCTAGGTTGAGTTCAACAGATGGCTTCCATCGCGATGGATGCCAATCTGGACTCCGCCTATTGGCCGCAGATTGTAATTAGTTTCACATATAGAATGAATTTTTCTTTTATATTATTGTTTAACTTTTTTACTGAAGATCGACAGAAGTAACGAGAACAAGCGAAAAAACAGATAGGAAAACTACAAGAAGAAAATGTAAAAAGTTACAACAAAAACGAAAACCGGCGAGCAAATATGAAGAAGGTAGCATAGTAACTATAAAAGCAGAATCGAAATTGTTGCCTAAATTTATGGGTCCATACCGCCATACTAAAGCGATAGGTCAGGATCGTTATGAATTAGAAAAAGTTAGCGTGCAAATTGGTCCATTTCGGACGAAAATAAATATCACCAATAGATTCGACACGGAAAGAGAAATAAACTTTTTCCGCTATTGCCAAAAAAACCGGAAGTGGAAAATATTTTAGATCGAAAGTTCTGAATGAACAACCCATGCTATCAAAATTTGTACGAATAGTGGACGCACCAGTTAGAACTTACAATTCATCTGGGCAATTAACCGGTTGTGCTAATCGGTACCCATCTTTTAAATACGCGGCAACTTCGAACGGATCGATTTCAACGTAAGGTTGTTGAGCTAACGTTGTTAATTCCCAAAGTAATACGCCGAATGACCAAACGTCGCTGCTTGACGAGAATTCTTTTTGCAAAAGAGACTCGATCGCCATCCATTTTATTGGGCGATTTTCGTTATCACCCAAACAATGATAATCTGATGGGAATAAATCTCTTGAAAGAGCGTTATCCGTTACTTTTATGCGTAATTTATCATCCACCCTAAAAAAAATTTAATTTTTGAAATATCTCAAATTTTATTAATTAATTTTTTAGCAACTTACACACAATTCCTGGCTGCTAAATCTTTATGCCACAAATGTTTTTTATGTAAATATTGCATCCCTTGAATAACTTGTAACGCCATATCAACAACTTCTTGCGTGGTTAAAGTGTGAGCAACACCTTCCGAGTTTAATTTGCATTTTTGTAAAAAGACTTTTAAGTTTTTGTAAGAATGATATGGGTATAGTAAAAACGGCGCGGTTTGATCTTCGATGGAAACCCCCAAAATGGTTAAAATGTTTTTGTGATTCAAAGAGTACATAAACATGCCTTCTTGAAGGAGCAACGAAATTTGGATTTGCGAAGCGTGATCGGTTACAGTCTTGACAAGAACCTCTTCTTGGCGTCCATTTTCGTCGGTGTAACTTCCTAAATAAACTCTGCCGAAAGTTCCTTCTAAAATAACTGAGTTTAATCCCACTCTGCATCTTTGTATTGTTAATTCTGAGATTCTTTCTTGCAGGTCTTTGGATCTCTCATCAATTAATGAATAACTAGGCATTCTTCTGAAACTGCCATAGGAACAAGTTGATGTTGGATTTCTTGTTGCTGATGTTAAGTAGGTCATATGAGGCTGCATGGAATTTCCCCTTGAAGATTTTTTTTTCTTCTCTTTCAAGTAATACCTCAAAACACAAATTGCTAGGAACCCTATTAAAATAATTGCTGATCCTACTGCCGTATAAAAAATATTAACTGAATTTGTAACCGGCTTTGAATCAACTGAAATATTACTGGATATTGGGGTCTCATTGCGTTTGCAATTTTTTTTTCTTTGAATTTTAATTGTTGTTATATTATTGGGCTGCAAAGTGATATTCATTGATATATCTATATTAACTTGATCTGCAACAGTTCCTGTGCAAGGTACCGATAAAGTGAAGGTTTGTAAAGTTGTTGGAATTATTCCTGATTCTGTTATATTCAGTTTTGGAGTTATTGAATGTAGATTGGATGTGGTTATTCCAATGTTGTAGGGGAGCTAAATAAAAAAATTTTAATGTTAAAATAATGAGAGGTTATACTTTATTTATTACTGCTTTTCCATTTAGACTTTCCCAAGAAATGAGTAAATTATCGACGTTTAATGGAATATCCATAACATAAGCTAAGGCGTTATTATTAATTTGGCCATCTCTAATGTAGTATAATTCCACATCTAATCCTATAAAAAAAATTTTGTTTATTAATTATAAATTTGGTTGATTTATTTAGTTTTACCTAAAGTTTTTTGTACCTCCTGGGATGTTAGAAACAAATTTAAATACCCCAAACACTCGTGAATGATGAACGCGCACAACAAATACAGATATTTATGGACCATTGTGGCATTTTCCGGGGTTCACTCAACATCAGGTCGTTTCGGGCTTAGTTTTTCTAATAATAATCATTTTTGGTGTGGACACATCGCCAACATATTCTCAACAAACAATCACAAATACAGTCTACAAAGTAGGCTCTACACCCGACGTGTGTATAAAAAGCACGGTAAATAAAAAGGTTGTCTAGCGACACACGTTGAACTGTTCTGGAGGGGGAAAGAAAAAGAAAAAGTAGTGATAGCTACTACTAATAGATGGAGCTAACCCTATCGATATAGAAGGTACTTAATCAACCGATTTTCAAAATTTGAACAAAGTATTATGAAACACATCGTACTTAAAATCCTTATGGGAATACCCTACTTACATAATGTCGCTCGAATTTGCCTCGAATCTATAAATGCGTACAAATTAACAAGATATAAATAAAATTAAAAAAACCTAAAGAAAAAAGGTCTTCTAATAAAGAGGGGTTTCTATAAGGTTGATCTGATCATTCATTAATTCAATTTTTTGGTCATCTCTACGTGTGTCGATTTCGAATTGTTCGAATAAGTCGAGTTTATTACCTTTGTTACATACACTGTGTTAATTAATTATCGTAACCCACGTGACCTGTGTAATGTTGGCTGCATATCTCAATATGTATATTAATAACCAGATGTTGACAGATATATTTTTTTTATTATTAAAATATATCTAACTATATATATCGTTTTTAGGAACTTTCGTCGCGTTGCAATACCAATCTGTGATATTGGTTGCATATTTTGTCGGGTACGATAATTAATTAACACACTGTACGTGTATAAGGGTGGAATTTTTGAAGTCAATGTTTTGAAAATAGGTATTGACGCATCTAAGAGCAAAAGTGTAAGAGAGCAATATTGTTAACAATAAAATTTGCTACAACTTTTGTGCTAAAATTTTTTTTGTAACATGCTGCGCTTCCTAAAGATTACCTTTAATAACTTGAAAAAGCAACAAATTCATAAAATTTTCATATTTTCGTATCTATCTCGATATTGACGTATCTAAGAGCAAAAGTGCAAGAGAGCAATATTGTTAACAATAAAATTTGCTATAAGTTTTGTTAAAAAGTTTTTTTATAGCAAGCTCCGATTCCCAAGTATTACCTTTAATAACTTGAAAGAGCAACAAATTCATAAAATTTTCATATTTTCGTATCTCCCTCGATATTGACGTATTTAAGAGCAAAAGTGCAACAGAGCAATATTGTTAACAATAAAATTTGGAACAATTTTTGTTATAAAAGTTTTCTTATAGCATGCTCCGATTCCCAAGTATTACTTTAATAACTTGAAAAAGCAACACATTCATAAAATTTTCATATTTTCGTATCTCCCTCGATATTAACGTATTTAAGAGCAAAAATGCAAGAGAGCGCTATTGTTAACAATAACATTTGCAACAATTTTAGTTATAAAAGATTTCTTATAGCATGCTCCGATTCCCAAGTGTTACCTTTAATAACTTGAAAGAGCAACAGATTCATAAAATTTTCATATTTTCGTATCTCCCTCGATATTGACGTATCTAAGAGCAAAAGTGTAAGAAAGCAATATTGTTAACAATAAAATTTGCAACAATTTTTGTTATAAAAGATTTCTTATAACATGCTCCGATTCCCAAGTAGTACCTTTAATCACTTGAAAGAGCAACAAATTCATAAAATTTTCATATTTTCGTATCTATCTCGATATTGACGTATCTAAGAGCAAAAGTGCAAGAGAGCAATATTGTTAACAATAAAATTTGCAACAATTTTTGTTATAAAAGTTTTCTTATAGCATGCTCCGATTCCCAAGTATTACCGTTAATCACTTGAAAGAGCAACAAATTCATAAAATTTTCATATTTTCCTATTTATCTCGATATTGACGTATCTAAGAGCAAAAGTGCAAGAGAGCAATATTGTTAACAATAAAATTTGCTACAAGTTTTATTCTAAAAGTTTTTTTATAGCAAGCTCCGATTCCCAAGTGTTACCTTTAATAACTTGAAAGAGCAACAAATTCACAAAATTTTCATCTTTTCGTATCTATCTCGATATTGACGTATCTAAGAGCAAAAGTGCAAGAGAGCAATATTGTTAACAATAAAATTTGCAACAATTTTTGTTATAAAAGTTTTCTTATAGCAAGCTCCGATTCCCAAATGTTACCTATAATCACTTGAAAGAGCAACAAATTTTCATATTTTCGTATCTATCTCGATATTGACGTATCTAAGAGCAAAAGTGCAAGAAAGCAATATTGTTAACAATAAAATTTGCAACTATTTTTGTTATAAAAGTTTTCTTATAGCAAGCTCCGATTTCCAAATGTTACCTATAATCACTTGAAAGAGCAACAAATTCAAAAATTTTCATATTTTCGTATCTATCTCGATATTGACGTATCTAAGAGCAAAAGTGCAAGAAAGCAATATTGTTAACAATAAAATTTGCAACAATTTTTGTTATAAAAGTTTTCTTATAGCAAGCTTCGATTCTCAAGTGTTACCTTTAATAACTTGAAAGAGCAACAAATTCATAAAATTTTCATATTTTCCTATTTATCTCGATATTGACGTATTTAAGAGCAAAAGTGCAAGAGAGCAATATTGTTAACAATAAAATTTGCAACAATTTTTGTTATAAAAGTTTTCTTATAGCAAGCTCCGATTCCCAAATGTTACCTATAATCACTTGAAAGAGCAACAAATTCATAAAATTACAAAAAGAGCAAAAGTGCAAGAGAGCAATTTCTTAATAATAAAATTTTGTGTTTAAACCGATTTTTTACCGTTGATTCTACCGACATTTGGTCGACATAGGTTGGCAACGCTGATTAAGTTGGCAATATCAACCAGTGTGAAGTACAACATGTAAGATGTACAGATATTAGTTTTGTTCAATAAAGTAGTAGTGAAAATCCTGACTTTTATTGACAGGACACAACAGAGCTGTGTAGAAAAATTAATTTTATTTAAATAAAGAAACAATAAATATGTTATTTACAATAAATAAAAGAAAAATTATTTTTTTCCCGGACAATTTTTTTGATCGGTTCGTATAAAATAAGCCCTACTTATAGAGTTTCTATCTAAAACAGAGTAAGCTTTCTCCATGGATGATAACGCCGGTTTTTTGGATCTGGTCAAAATCCAGGCGTTTCCTTAAAAAAAATTCTCGATTAATATTTTATTAAATTATTTTTAATTTTTTTTACTTAAACTAAATATCCCAAGTTTATTGCAGGACCAAATCACGGAATAAGTGTCATAATCAGTATCTAAAATCCAATACGGCGATTGTAAGTTGAGCGGAAGTTGTGGAAAGGTGATTGTTAACTTTGGATCATCAGATCTACCGTTCATATTCGCTTTTCCTTCGATTGTTGATCGTATACCGGTTAATGCGCTGGTTTGTTGATTAATTATATTTATCGACCCATCTTTACTAGGGACATAATCAGCTGTAACGCATTTTCCACCGAATTCAAATACCGCAAAATATCTTTCAGCTTCATACCATTTACCCATATACTAATAATTTATTCGTTAAAATTTTTTAAGTTTAATTCAATATCGTTCTTACCCTATTAACATCTAATCTGTCCATTGTTTCTATTTCTGGACAAGGACCTAAGAAAGGCACTTGACCCGCTACTCCAACCAACAAGAATATTAAACTTATCATAATGTTCGTTTAGCTCGAGACCACGCAAGCGATTGCTTGCAAAACCTGATGATGCTACTCAACCGTCTATAGTGGGTCATAACATAACGGTTTTTGGATTATAGCGATGATATTTACTTACTTTTTCAATTTAAAGATGGAACGGTATTTAAAAACGGTAATATAATAACTTAATTGAATACAGAATTAGGGGAAGGAAGAATTTGTTGAATAATTGGGTGGCTCTCAACACTTTTGATTATTATTAGTTCTAAGTCGCTCTAATCCTATCGCATTTAGAGCTCAATTAATTTCAATAACTGGTCAAGCACATTTCAGTTGAATCGGTTAATGGAGAAATTTAATTATATCACTTTTCAAATGATCTCGAATAGTAATTTTGCAGCTTTTCGCAAAATTTTCATACTCATATTCCAAGAACTGGATTTTATACGAATTTTAGCAAAATCGATTATTTTAAAAATTTATTTCTCAAGAACTAAAAGTGATTTTTCAAAACGGCTTTTTGCATTAAAAAGAGGATACTTTAATTAATAATTGGTGATATTTCCACAAGGATCCTTCAAGAAATTAATTTTATAGCAAATTTTGAAAATTATCGATGAAAATTGCAACATCGAAAATTTTATCAAAACTTCAAATATTGTTTTCTCAAAAACTAAAAGTTATTTTT